GCGCTGGGCCGGCAGGGGCGCGCGCGGGCGCGCCGGGGCTGGGGGTGCCGCACGGGCGGGGTTTCCTGCCCCGGCACCAGCTTCGTGCCCGCAGCGTCCGCCGTCTCCTCCCGCGGGGTCGCGGCACCCCCCAGCTCTGCTCGGGCCCGGGCCCCCTCCTGTCCTGGCGAGGCCCGCCCGGGGAGGACACCCACCGCTGCTGGGCGCGCTCGCGCTCCTGCCGGCCCAGCGCCTCCTTCTCCTGCTCCAGCTGCTCGCGGAGCTCCTCCACCTGGCGCCCGAAGCGCTGGGCCGCCCGCGAGTCCGCCCGCAGCAGCTCCGCCTCGTGCAGGCTCTTGAGCTTCTTAACCTCCTGCTTGTGCTTGGCGACCAGCTTCTGGATCTCGGGCTCCAGGCCTGGAGGAGGGCACTGCACTGCGGGGGCCTGTCCCTCCGGCCTTGCGCAGCCGTGGGCCCCTCCTCTCCACTGGCCATGCTGCCCGGGGCCCCGATCCTTGCCCCTGGTGCTGTGGGTAGGGGACCCCCAGCTCTCCCCAACGAGGACACTGGGGCCGCGGCCCATCCAAGGGATCCCCCACCCCAGCCACCCCAGAGAAAGCCCCATGGAGTCCACCTAGGCCCACCGTCCCTCCCACCCCCAGTGGGGCTCCTCCTGGAAGAGGGATCCTCGGGGGGCAGGTGGGCTGGGTGTGGGTGGCCATTAGTGGCCACAGCTGGGGTGCTCCGTCAGCCTCAGACCCATTCTCTAAGCTGGGGAGCAGCGACAGTCCCAGGTTGCAGGGACCCCAGGGCGCCCCCCATGCTTCCACCCAGGGCACCCCCGTCCCCGGGAAGGTGGAGGAGTTCAGGGGGCAGAGGGAAGGCATGGCCCATGCTCTCCAACCGCCCTTTGTTCTGAGTTGGGCCCGCAGCCGGCCCCCTCCCCGCCTCAAAGCCGGCTGAATGTCACCTGAGGGTACCGTGGCTATGACTGAAACCACCACAGTCCTTGCTCAAAGACGCCCCCACCCGTGCCTCTGGGCCATGCGGCCCGTCAGCCTCTGACCAGCTCTGGGGGTGCCCAGTGCTCACCTCGGACTGTGATCTCCTTGATTTTTCGGGTTTTCTCATTGATCCACTTCTCCCTGCGGACTTTCTCGGTAGCGCTCATTAGCTCTTTGAGTTTCTTAATCTCCTGCCAAGCAGGAAACAAGAAGTCCCCAGCAGCTGAGGAAGTGGGGGGCACAGAGACACCCCCACCCCACCTCCCCTGCACACACCAGTGAGCCTGCTCTGCCCTCCCCAGATGTGGAGGCCTGAGGGAGGAAGTAATTGGTCTTCAGAGGCCCCACTGGGGTACCCCTAGGTCCCCAACCCTGGTGTCCCCTGCCATGGCTGGGGGGACTTTAAAAATGTTGCTGCCAGGGCTCCTGGGTGGTGCAGTCGGTTGAGCGTCCGACTCTTGGTTCTGTCTGGCTCAGGTCGTAATCTCGGGGTGGCAGGATCGAGACCCGTGTGGGGGGGGGTTCCTGGCTCAGCAGGGGTCTGCCTGAGGTTCTCCCTTGGCCTCTGCCCCTCCCCCTGCTTGCACATGCATTCTCTCTGTCTAATAAACAAATCTTTAAAAAAAATTGCTGGTGCCACTGACTTCCCAGAGTCAGCTTCCGGTCTGGGGACCATCGCGGCCCACACCGTGGCAGGTGCAGCTGGGGCGGGGCGGCCTGTGACCGGCAGCTGCCAGCAAAGCCGGATGAGGCAGGGGTCTGGTCCTCAGCCGACAAAACCAGGAAAAGCACATGTGGCCCCTCTGTCCAGGGGCCCAGAGCTGGGGCAGCCAGCACTGTGTGGGGTGCAGGCTGGGGCTGTGAGTCCCTGGGCCCCAGGGTCTGGCACCCAGCAAGGCAGAGGGAAGCAGCTCCAGGGGCGGGAGGGGGCCGAGACTGGTGCTGGGGCAGCTCCTCTCCACCGCCCCCAGCCCCCTGGCTGGCCCCCCAGATGTGGGGTGCAGGCCTGAGGCTCTTCTGTGTGTGCTCCTGGCCCCGAGGCTGCATGGTGGGTCCCGGGGTCTCATTCCTAAGCCCCCGCGACTCTCGTGCGACTCTCGTGCTCCAAGGCGGCCTCCCTCCCCCAGGCGCTGCGAGCTGGCTGGGGCTGGGGGCAGGCTGTGGGGACAGTGGGGGAGGCCGGCCACCCTGGCCACAGGCCACCGGCCCGAGGGACTCACCAGCTCGTGCTGCTCCTGCACCTGGGCCTCCCTGTCCTTGCGCCGCTGGTCCCCCTGCTTCAGCTCTGCCACCACAGCCTCACACCTGTCGGCCAGGGCCTTCTTGTCCTCAATCAGCTGCGATCAAGGGCGGAGGCTAGAGCTGCTGCCCTGGGAGGGGGCCCCGCCACCGAGACCCCCGAGAGCCCGTGGGGGACCCTGGGGCTGGGGGGGCAGGCATGCCAGCGGGCAGGGGCTGTGGCTGGGGGACACGGTGAGGAGTGGCGTGGGTCACAGCCTTGAGGGAGCACCCAGCGATGTCTGGGACCAGCCCCGTAAGTGTTCCCACGGGAAGATGCTGTCCGTTTCCACAGAGGGGAGGGGGCCCAGCGAGGAAGGCCCATGGGCCCGGAATTCTCCGTGAGGCCTAAGCCAGTCTGGAACAACAACCCCACGGGCCCAGCAGGTCCTGGCCCCTCTCCCCAGGTGCCCCGTTGCCCAAGAAGAGGCACCTGGTCAATGAAGGACAGGTGCCGCTGGATGGTGGCCTCGTAGTGGTCTCTCTGCTGCCGCAGCTGCCGGCCCAGCTCCTTCTCGGTCTCCTTGACCCGCCGTACGGTCAGGTCCCGCTGCTGCACCTGCGAGGGGCACGGGGTGGGGGGTGTGCGGCTGGGCAGCACGCACCAGGAGGAGGGGACAGGGGCGAGGCCCTCGCAAGGGGCAGGCTGGCGAGCGGGACCCTAGTGGTCACGGACCCCGCGTGCGTGCGAGGATCTGCTGGGTGGGGACGGGGACAAGGACGTTACCAGCGCTCTCTGCAGCAGCCGCACCGCCTGCTTCTTCTCCTCCACCTCCAGCTTCAGCCGCATCACAGATGCGCTCGCCGTGGACATGGGCCCCAGACGCCCCTCCTCCGGCACCAGCCCCTGGGAAGGCCTGGCGCATCAGGCAGGCCCTGGTCACCTGGAGAGGCCCTGCCGTCCCCCCCTGGGGCCCCTCCGCACCTGGGGGGCTGAGGCCGGCCGGCCCTGCCCCGACGCCTCCATCTCCATCTCGTGCAGAAAGCTCAGGATACTCTGCATTTTGGCCTCGGATAGCAGAGTCCCATCCTCGGGGGGACCAGAGCACGCGCTCAGCTTCCCAAACTTCTCCAGGTTGTCAGCCGTCAGGGAGCTGGCGTCGTCCTCCTACGGGGGAAGGGGCACAGCGGCAGGCGCCGTTGGGGCAGCGGAGGACCTGGGTTGGGCCTCTAGGAGTCGCTCAGGGAACCCCGGGCAGGGGAGACGGGGGAGGAGCCAGTGCAGGGCCGGCGGCGGAAGGCAGCTGGACCTGGTCTGCAAGGAAGGGCTTCTCTGCCCAGAGGCTTGTGGGGCATCACTGGGGCACCACGGGCAGAGGCAGTACCCACTGCCCACCACAGGGCTGCCCACGCCAGGATGACTCTGAGCACCCTAACAAGCCCCTTTGGGCCCTCGTGAGGGTCCCGACCGAAGCAGGCAGGAGCCCCCGTGACCCGTGCGGACGCAGCCCACAGTCACCTGGTCGGTCCAGGAGTATTTGTCCTGGTGGTAGGCCCTGGGGCAGGGCAGTGGCTCAGGCTCCTCCTCCAGCAGCCTGAGTGTGTCCAGCAGCTCGTCCAGGGTGGCCCTGGACTTGGCCCTGCCCCCAGCAGGACCCACCACCTCCAGATCCTGGCTGGCCACATCCCGGGAGCTGGCATCCTGCAGTGGACACGTACAAGGGAGAGGCACGAAGGCCGTTAGGGAGAGCCAGAGAGCCGTGGGGGGGACACTAGCGGGGAGATGGGGGAGATGGGGGAGATGGGCCGGGGGAGGGGAGGCCTCCTCTGCACAGGCTCGTGCCCACGTAACCACACGGACCAGACTCGCCCTGACCCACCTCCAGGGAAACAAGAAGAGTGGCCGGGTGGGACGCCCCTGACCTTGCCCCTCGACCCACCCCAGCTCGGGGCTTCCTGCTCCCTCTGGAGACACGCACGCGGGCCCCACCCCGGAGCATTGGTGACAACTCAGTGGGTTTCCACAGTGACCCGTGAGACCCCATCCCTGCATCAGAGCGACAAGACCCACTCTGGGCAGCCTTTCCTGGCACCAGGGACCCCACAGGCATGGAGGGGCAGGCTTGGGCCACCCAAGCAGGGATGTGCCCCGAAGCTGAAGCCAGGAAGGGTGGACGGGAGGAGCTGTACAGACACCTGAGGCTTGTCTTCTGGAAACTGCCGGGGCTCTGGGGAGGAGTTGGAGGCAGACTGGCAGGGGTCCTCTGGGCCTGCAGTTCGGAAGCCAGACCCTGCACAACACAGCATAGCATTGGCTGCCCCCCCACTCAGCTGGGGCAGCAAATCTGGGGAAGACCTTAAGGAGAGGCCACACGCAGGGGAGGCAGAACACGCGACAGCAGGGGCCACGGCAGACTTCATGTGAAACACAGGGAACGTTCAGGAGCACTAACCTGCTAGGATGAAGGGTCAGGGGAACTGGTACGACCCCAGAACCCTTGGTCCCCCCATGTCCAGCTCCGGAAGAAGAGGGATAGGAGCAGAAAGGCAAGGCCTAAGGGTCTGCTACACGGCGGAGCAGGGGCCCGGGAGCCAGATTGCACCAGCAGAGGCCACAGCCCTCCCAGAGGGACGGGGCAGGGCTGTCTGGGCTGGGCTTGGGGAGGGGAGATGCCCTGAGGGTGCCCAGAGCCATGCCAGCTGGCAGGACAGTCCCAGGCTCTGCTGCGCTCACCGGCGTTGTTGGCCTTCTGGGTCTGCTGGGCGTGAGTGGTGCCCCCTGGCCTCGGGAGCGGCTCCTGGGCAGGCCGGGGCTTCTCCATCTCCCGGGCATCCTCCAGCAGCCTGGGCTCAGGGTCACCTGACTTCTGGGCCCGCTTCTGCTGCAGCTCCTGCCGCGGGGGGCCCCTCTGAGCGGCCTCGCCCGACAGAGCCAGGCCCCTAGTCCTTCCCAAACTCAGCTGCCCCGGGACCCAACGTCCAGTGGCTTGGGGAAGGAGGTTCAGGGAAGGCAGCAGGCAGGGGTCCCCGGGCTACAGGGGGTGGGCCCAGCAAGCATTTGCTGGCTTGGCCCTGGGCTCTCCACACTGCTTGGGTCACCTCAGGCACCTGAATGGCCGCTCGCCTGGCCTGGCGTGCCTTCTCCTCCCGGACCTTCTTCCTGGCTGCCTCCTTCTGCTGGTGCAGGCCCAGGAGCCCCTCTCTGAGCTGCCGTCCCTGCTCCTGCAGAAGTCAAAGTCACAGCTGGTTTGATGGGGAAGGTGGAGCTGCCCAATCCAGCCCTGGGTTTCTACAGGACCCCATGGCCCCCCAACCTGCCGCTTCTCTGCCCAGAGAAAACAAGCCTCCCTCCAGGCAGCCAGGGCTCTCCCAGCTGGGGAGGCCGCTCTGCCTCTAGGAGCCAGGGTCCTACAGCCAGAAGCCTGCTCGGACTGCTTGGGCCAGGGTGCTGCTGGCTGGCAGGCATGTCTTGACACCCAGGCTGTGACTCAGGGCAGGGAGGAAGCTGGGCCGCTGGACGGGGTACAGACCCACGGTGCAATCCCAGGCTGCAATGGCACTGGTCCTAGAAACCCCTCTGCGCATGGCTGGGACCCCGGGACGCTGGCCTGCATCCTTGCCGCCAGGCTCACACTCCACGCTGACCTTCTGCTTGGACGCGAGCAGGTGCTCCAGGTGGGCAGCCCCGGCTCCGCGTCGCCGCACCTGCTGGCGGTACCATCGCTGGATGGTGACGGCGGCCCGGTTCACCTGGTGGATAAACCTGCGGGGGGGTAGGGGCAGCAGGGCTCAGGACCGGGGCCCGGCCCCGTGCACCTGTGGACTCACAGCAGCAGAGCCACAGCCTCCCCAACCCCGCCCCCGCGCCCCCTGAAGGCCTAGGTGGGCGGACAAGCCGACAGCTGCACCTTCCCGCAGACGCTCATCACCCCGGCCGGAAATGAGCCAGAGGCCCGTGGCTTGGCCGTGTGAACGCTGCAGGCCTGACGGTGGACGCCATTCACAGACAGAGATCCACACACAGTGACAGGCCACAGGCCCGGCGCCCTAGCCACAGAGCGTTCTAGAAGAGGTAGAGCCCTGAGGGGGCAGCTGGGCGTGGCCAGGGTCAGGCCTGGAGAAGCGGGGGGGGGGGTTCTGGGGGAGGTGGACGTTCTGTCTAGGCGGCTCTCCCTGCAGACGACACGGGTGCGTGCTGCCCAAAGTCTCCACCACGCGGCACATCCCACGTGTGGGTCCTACTGCATGTCAGGCCAGTAAAGCTGGCTCCCCGGGCCGTTTGAAGGGCCTAACGGAGCAGCCAGGACCCAGTCGATCACCGGCCCTGGGACAGGCACGCAGAGGGCCCAGCACAGGGCTGCGGGCTCCCGGCCTGCTCCCCGGGCCCGCTGCTGGGCAGTGACCGCCCGGCAGGCAGGGTCCGAGCAGGTCACGCGGCTTCCGGACCAGGAGCAACGCCTGGACCAGGGGTCACCCCGTAAGACTCCATAAGATTGTTAGTGGTTTTTGTTTTGTGTCCCTTCCCCTTAATGCTTTTTAAGTTAAGAGCTTTAGCGAACTGTAAGGGACATACTGTAAAACGTATCCCCCTAAGTAAACGGTTTGATGACTTTGCCTAAACTGACAGGTGGGTATGCCCGCCGGTGGGACCCAGGTTTAGAGCATTTCCACCCCCCCAAAAAGGGCCCCCGCCCCACCCCACAGACTCGCCTCTTCTCTGCACTTAGAACAAATGGGCCCCAGCGACACGGGAGCTCGTCAGCGTCCGTGTTTGAAAACAGCCACTCAAGTGGGAACTCCTGTCCCGGGAGCTCCGGGTCCCCTCCCGCCCCCAGCTCCTGCTCACCTCTCGGCCTCCTGCTCCGTCACCTCCTTCCGTCTGAGCGAGGCGCCCCCGGCGTTGTTCTGGGCCAGGTGGTTGCTGCCGGCCAAGTTCTCGAGCGGCTTTGCGGAGCCGCTGCTCTCTCCCACGCCAGCGGCAGCCTTGAGGATGTTGCTAACCGGAAAGAGCAGGAGGGGCTTGGGGACGTCCACCCAGGCCCCCTACAGCGCCGGCCGGCAGCTCTGCCTCCCAGCAGAGGGGGCGCCTTGGGGCTGGAAGGAGGCGCCCACCAGACGTGAGGAGGAGGCACAGCCTGCTCCCCGGTTCCAAATGCTGGTTGATCCCCTCCCACCGGGCCCATCTGGTGGCACCCGGGTGCATGGGCTCTTCCCATTCAAAAAAGCAGACAGATGTGGAGTCACAGGACCCCTGAGGCAGACAGTGACCCGAGACACTGCACGGGCACCCCCTCCTCCAAGTGTGCTGTGCAGGGGCAAGGCGATGCCGTGTGGGGGCTGCTGCGGGCTCCTAGAAGGGCCGCATGCCTGCCGGGGTCTGTCTGGATGTGCTCTCCTGGCGCCCCTTGCGGGCACAGCACCAGGCCTCATGGGGACCCGGGCCGGGCCGCTCCCCAAACGCCAGCTCCCTCACCCTGCCCGAGCAGAGCCAGGCCTTACTTGAGGGAGGGAGCCGTGCGGTTGGAGCTCTTGGGGGGTGGCGCCCAGTCCGAGGGCGTGTAGCGGTTGTGCACCATGCCCGTGACGCAGTTGCCCACAGCGCCCTTGTTGCTCCTGTGGGGGGACGGGAGCGGCATCAGACCCCGGGGCATGCTCGCCACACCAGCACCCAAGCGTCCCTGGGGGCCCCTCCACGGCCACCACACTGCCAGCGGGGGCTCCTCAGGACCCGGGAGAGCCCCACCCGTGGCATTCCACGGAGCAGAACCCGGTGTGGGCCGTGAAAACCCAGGCCCCTGACAGCAGACACGCCTGCTGGTGGGGGGTCAGCCACGGACCGTCAGTCCGCGCAGGATGGGCCCCCCTGAACCAGCAACACAGGACGGGAGACACGCAGTCCTCCCTCCGCCCCCTCCCACCCACCGGAAGGAATACACGTGGTACAGACACACGTGGACAGAGGGGACGTGGCGGAGACAGCTGCAGACACAGGACCACAGCGTTTTACAGGAGAAGCAGAAGAGCCCGTGGTAAGTGACCTGGGGAGGAAGGGAGGAGATGCGGGGGGTGCAGGGCTGTGGGAGTGGCTGCTCTGCCCCCGAGGACCCCATGGAGGTACAGGAAGTGGGGCCGCCTGGGTCTTCTAAGGCAACGCTGCGCCCCAGATCCCCTCCTCGCCGTCAGCACCCCAGCACTGAGCCCGTCCCCCCGCTGCAGACAGCAGGCTGGCCCGCCTGGGGAAGCAACGTCTGGGTGCTGAGCAGGACGCCCGCGTCCGCTGTCCCGCGGGGTGCGCAGCAGTGGTGGGCAGGAACTGAACCCCAAGTCAGGAGACCAGAGAATCCCTCCCTGGACAGATGGAGCAGCCCCGAGAAGAGCCCTGGTTGGGGACAGGTGCGGACCCCCCGGGACACCAGCCTGGCCCCTGCCCGGTCGCCCTGAGGTGAGCCTCTGCACAACTCAGAGGGCCTCCCTCCCAAGGCTGGCGGAGCCCGTGTTCCAGACACCTGAGGACAGACACACACGCGAAGGGCAGACACACAGGACGGGCGGAGGCTCGGCCAAGGACAGGGCATCGTTGAGAATCCATACTGGCGACCAGGCTCGCCGGCAAATGTCTAACAGCCTGTTCGCGGGAACAGCTTGTATTTCTGGGGTCTGCCGATTTCAACATTCCCAGCGCGGTAGACTCGAGACACGCGTGGAGCCGGGCCAAGCGCACAGCCGGCCTCCGCAGCTGGGGCAGGTGACCCGGCCGTCACTGCCACATCATCACAGACGGAGCGAGAACCGCCGCCCTTGGGGACAGGAGGAGCTTGTGGGCCATGCGACTCGGCCACGTGGGGACAGAGGCAAGAGCGGGCGTGCAGCTCAGGGGTATGCAGGCCCCTCGGGTCCTGAAGCTGGAGGCAGAGGAGACAACGGGGTAGGGCCGGCTGTAGAGTCCATCCAGGAGGCCCCCGGGGCAGCGGCGGCAGTCACCAGGGAGCAGAGCAAAGAAAAGGAGGGAAATTGCCAAGGAAACCGCAGGAGAACATGCTGGAAAGCACTAGAAGCAGCCCGAGCGCGGCTGTGTCTGGAGAGCAGGACTTGGCGGGGAGGGAGGGCAGCAGGTCTGCCAGTTTCCAGCTCCTCACTTAGCCGTGCGCACGCGTCACTCGGAGAAATTATAATGAAATGTTCATCTAAGTTCTCGCATCCGAAGCAGGAATTCTCACCGCGCCGACTCTGGGGACCCGTCCCCGAGAGCCCCCCCGACTGTTCCTTTGGCAAACAGCAGCTGCGTCGGGAAGCTCTTTCTCGCACAGAAGTAAACGCATTCCCTTGTCCCTGTGCCCACGGCGAGGGGGACCCGCGCCCCCGGCAGCCAGGGGAGGCCGAGCCGAGCCTGCTTTCCGCTGCGGCTTCCCCAGGTCGCATAGCCGTCCCGACGACTCCCCGGCCTCTGCAGACCCCAGCACGCTGGCCGTCACTCTGCACGCGCCTGGTTCTGTCACACAGGGGGCGGTGCAGCCGACCAGGGACCACCGGAGCCGGCATGTGGACCGGCTGATGGCGCACAGCAAGCCCGGAGGGCCCCAGGAAACGCGCTCTGCCCTCCTGAGACGTGGGGCTGGGCCTCATATGGAGGCCAGCGGCCCCATGTGAGCCTCGCCAGGCCCGGCCCCTTCAGGAACGAAGCTGGGTGTCTCGGGCCGTTGGGAGGCAAGCTGCCCCCGGAGGAGAGGGCGGGTGGGGGCCCGTGACAGTGTGCGCCGTCTGAGCTCCCCGCCAGGCCAGAAGAGCCCCGCCTCGTGTGCAAGACGGCGCCCTGCAGCCTCCTTCCCTGGGCCCTTGGGCGGAGAAAGCCGGCCACGCGTTCCCTCATTCATTCCCTCACTCCAGAGCGTGGAGGTCCTGCCATGGGCAGACACACAGCACACGCCCACCCCCGGCCCAGGGGCCTCGGGTGGCCAGGGCCACAAGGGGTGTCTGCAGCAGGTCCCACCTGTTGTTGGCAGTGAAGCTGGGGGCCAGGGGCACGGTGCACTCTCTCCTCCGCGGGCCCACCGGCGCATCGACGGTGCTGGGACTCCGGGAGTCGGGAGGCAAGGCGAAGGCCCTGGGCTGGTCATCCTATCGGTGACACAGTAGCCACCTCAGACCACGATGTGCTGCACAGGCCACTGACCCCAAGCCCCTGGCGTGTCCCCCCACGGCCTCACGCACAGACGGGATGGTCCGGGGGCTGGGAGTCTCTGCGCTCCTCCTCCACCCGTCCCACGGTGATCCCAGCTGGCTACCACCAACTCCCCCCACCGCTGGCCGCGCCTGCAGGTGCAGCCACAACAAGGCGGGAACCAGGCAGGCGGGAACCCACCATCACTCTCAGAGGGACACAGACTCGGTCCTTACCAGGACATTCCATGTGGCTCCCTTCTCGCTGGGAGCTTTGCTCACACCAGCCGGCCTCTTTTTCCCACCGGAGCCACCCTCGAAGAGGGTCAGGAAGTGGGGGTGCTCGGCCGGCCTGCGTTGGGAGAGAGGACGGCGCGCAGGGACAGTCAGTCTGGGGAGGCCAGCTCCAGGAGCACAAATGGGCAGGTCTTCCAAGGGGATGGGAGGAGCCAGGTCACAGAGAATCCTGTCCCCAAGCCCACAGCTTGGTCTGTCGTGGCTTAGCTGTGATCTGACAACCACGCCCGAAGGAAAAGCCCCCACCGGAGCTGCAGCCACCTGGACACCCACGTGAGGGCGCAGCAGGGAGAGGGAGAGAAGCAGGCAGGGGGACGCTGGCCTGGGGGTCTGCATCTCTACTCGCAGATAGGACGGGTCAAGATGCGTCCCGCCTGCACCCCACACACCCCCCCGCCCCATCCGGCAGAGGTGGACTGAGTGCTCATCCCATCAGGCCCGGTGCCTAGCCTGGGCCCAACCCGGTGAGGACAGAAGGGGGACTGACAGAGGCAGGGGAGGGGCAGGCCGGGGGCTACCTGAGGGGGCCGGCCGAGGCCTGGCTGGCTGGCGGCTGGCGGACCTGCGTGGTGCTGCTGGATCTGTGGAGGTTGTTAATGGTTCGGGCACCCCCGGGCCCCTCCTGAGGAAGAAGGAGCAAGCAGCCCCGTAGCAAAGGCTTCAGGCGCTCGCCCGCTCACCCCGTGCCACGCCAGGCCTCGGAGAACGGATGTGGGGAGAGGAGAGGGTCTCCTGGTTCTCGTGGACTAGAGCAGCGTGGGGTCCTGGGTTAGGTCAGGGTGAGTGGGCCCAGGTCCTCGGCCTCCCGAGGCCTGGTCTTCCTTGAACAATGCGGCGACCCTTCATCCCCGGCGGGTGAGCGTCCGGGAGGAAGCATGTGGGGCCTGGCCCGGGGGCTTTGGCAACGGCTGCCAGGCCTGGTCGTCACCGTCATCGGCTGCCCGAGGAGCGTGGCCGGCTCACTCCCGCCAAGCACCTGCTGCTCGCAAGCCCACCAGGCTTTCTTCAAGGCCGGAAGGAGCTCATCTCCCTCCCCCCAAGTCACCCTGCTCCTTGAGGACGCAAAGAAATCCAGTGTTGGCAGAGCAAGACGGACGGAGAGGTCGGCGCCAGCAGGATTTACTCTGCCTTGGGCCGGGTCCACCCTTGGCCGACCCTGGCCTTGACCTCTCTCAAGTTAGGTCTCTGGCCTATGAACGGAGTCCCTCCTGAGCCTGGGGCAGCCGCAGGCTAGGAAAGGACAACAGACAAGGGGGACGCCTGCAGAAAGGTGGGGTGACCCTTCAGGAGGTGGGGGTGACGTGGGGCGCCCACACAACCCCGGCCCCAGCACTCACCAGCACCTTCGTCCTTGGCTCACTGCCTGTGACCACAGAGAAGGAGCGGGTGAGGGGCTTGGCCGCGGAGGCGCTGTTGGGACGCCGGGACACAGGCGGGGGGAGGCCCGTCAGGCTCAGGTCCACCCCTACTGAGCTGCCCTCGGGGCTGCCGGAGGGACCACTGGCGGCCCGGGAGCCTTTCATGGAGGCGGAGCAGGCCCTGAGCAGGCAAGAAATGCAGTGGGATGCCCTCTGAGGAGCCGGGCCTCCTCACACACGCCCTCCCGCCAGGCCAGGAGCCTGCCGCCACCAGCCACCTCCTCGCGGAGACAGTGGGGGTCCCTCTGTCAGAGCAGGGCTCCATGCCGAGTGACGGCTCTCCAGGGGGACCCACCCTGCCCGAGGGTGGCCAGGGGCAGCCCCCCACCCGCCACGGGGCAGGTTCTGCACCCGTCCGAGCCTCCCCTCCTCCACCTGTAAGACAGGCAAAGTGCTTCTTCCTGGGGCCATCCTGGACAGGGCAGAGGTGAGGCTCCAGGAGAGATGCTCTAACCGGGACCTGGTCTGACGCATGCTGCCCAACCCAAGGGCCACAGCTCTGGCCTATGGTCCGGCCGTAGGAGCCCTGCATTTCCCCAGAGCGCCCGGAGCGTCCTGGCCGTGGCATCTGCTCCCCCCCACCCCACCCCAGGACAAACCACCCTTCCATCTCCCTGGCTCGCCCTTCCTCTTCCCAGCCCCTCTGCTCAGAGGACCCCCCAGGCTCCGCCCTGGCCTCCCCTCCACCCAGATTCCCACCTGGGGGCCCACGTCTGGCCCCCAAGCTTTAAAACAGAGGCTGATGGGTCCTGCCCCACTCTGTTCCCTAATTTCTGACACAGCCCCAGCCCCAAAAAGACCAAAGCAGAACCCTGACGTCCACCTCCGGCCTCCCCCTCCCCAGGGTCATGTTTTGTAACGGACTCAGTCCAAGGATCTGATCTCAAGCGGACATCTTGCCCTTCCCTGCCACACCTGCGCCCTCTCCCCACATACCCCCTCCCTCCACGGTCTCTCCTAGAACCGGGACAAGCACACAGCCCCCCTTCCTGCCCTCCCCCCAGCAGCCAGAGCCCATCATTGTCTACCAGGTCCCAGATCACACCGCGTCCCTGTCGAAGACCTTCGGAGGACTCCCCGGACAGAAAATAAAGTCTAGACAGCCAGCACCCTCCGATCTGACCCTGCTCTCTCTGTGACCCCTCACGGCCCCCCCCCAACTGCCCCGAGCTCTGCTTCAGCCAAACCAGCCATCCTGCTGCCCCTCAGATGGGGCCAGGCTGTCTCCATCGCCAGCCCATGCACCTGTGGGCCCCTCTGCCGGCGGCCTCTTTCCCTGGGATGTCACCAGGCTCCCCCTTCCGTCACAGAGCCAGTGGTCCCCATCACTTTGCTCCCTCCTCCTGCTTTAGTTCCCTTCACCTGGCCACACAGGTCAGTCTGTGTTGTCTGACTCCTCATAGGAACATCAGCGCCACGAGGACAAGGACCACGTAGCCCCAGCCCCTGGCACGTGGCGGGCACTCAAGCAACAGGAGCGGAGCGCATGAAGCAGGAGACGGAATGACCACGGAGGAGAGCACAGCCCCACCCGCCACGGAGGACTCTGGTGGGCCAGCAGCCACACACCCTTCCCAGGGCAGGTCCCCGCGGAGGCCTCCTCCACACGCAGGTAGTCGGGGGCCCCTGGCCAGGGTCAGTGCCTCTGTTCTCTAGAGTGGCGCACAGAGCTGTCCCTGCCGCTCACCCCGCAGGTGTCCCCACTCTTGCGTTTCCGGTCGTGCGGGTGATTTTCACGCCCTCCGCTCCCCAGGGCCCTGGCCACACCCCGCCGGACCCGGGCTGGCCGGACCCGGGCTGCTGGGCTGACACGCGGGCAGCGGCAGCGCGCGGGCTCTGGGAAGGTAAACACAGCCTCTCCCTGGAAACCTCCGGCCCAGAACTCGCCTTGGACACCGAGACTCTGCCCCAGCACCCGAGCCCCTGTCCAGACTCCTCAGCAGCGGCGGACGCAGGGCCCCCGGCGGAGCAGCTCCCGGTCCCCCAAGGTCTCGGCTCAAGGTGGCCGGTGGGACCCGAGACCGCCCACTGGACTCCGCTCCCTGGCGCAAGCCCCCCGCCCGCCCCTGCACGGGGGAGCCCGAGGGGGGAAAGGCTTCACCTGCGCGGGCCCCGCACACGCGCATCCGCGCAAGCCCCCCTCACCTGCGCGAGCCCGGCCTGGGGCGCGGGGCCTGCGGGGCCGGCCGGCGAGCGGATGTGCGAGGCCCTCCCGGGTGGGACGCCCGGGGCTCCGGCTTTGGGCGGGCGACCTCGCGCCCGGGCCCTGGCGCAGCCTCCGAGGCCCAGGTGACAATGAAGCGGCGGGGCCGCAGGCCGAGCTGCGGCCGCTAGCAACCGGCCTCCAGCCTGGCGCCTCCTCCCCCGTCCGTCACGGGGGCCCGCCTTTCCTGCCCGCGCCGCCTCCGGATTGGCCGTCCGGGTGCCCGCTCCAGCCGTCCGAAGAGCTCATTGGGCGCCTGGCTGTCCTTCGGGCGTTCGGGGGTGGGAGGAGCCGGGAGGAGCGGAGCCCCCCCGCCCGCCCGGGGCAGCGGGCCGTTGATTGGACCAGCCGGAGAGGGCGGGGCCTCGGCTAGTGGCGGGGGGGAATGGGCGGAGCCCCAGGGAGGCTGGGGAGCGGGCGCGGCGTGGGCGGCGTGGCGCTCCGGCGGTACCCAGCCGGCCGCGCCGACGCCCAGGCGGCCCCGGGCGCCCACAATCTCTGGTCACCCACACCGTCCCCGGGCTCCCACCACGTCTCCCCGCCTCTCAACGCCGTCCCCGGCCTCCCACGCGGTCCCCAGTCGCCCATGCTGTCCCCCGGTGCCCACACCGTCCCTGCCGCCCACGCCATCCCCCAGACTCCCTTCACGCCCTCCCTTAGCTGCCTCGCAGCTGAGCCCCGTCTGGACACGAGATCCTGCTGCACCGCCCCCCCCACCCCCCCGCAGAACTCCATTTAGGGTTGGCACCTGCACATTCCAGAGCCTCGCTGGTGCCCTTTCTCAGGCGCCCTGTCCCAGGACCTGGTCATAGACCGGAGACCACTGCCCTGCCAAGACGACGCGGCGGTTTCATATCTAGGTCTATAGTTCAACTGAGATTTTGGGTAAGGTGTGAAGTATGGGATGATTTTTTTCCGGGGGTGGGGTGGGGGGGTGTGCATGGATGTCGAATTATCCCAGTACTATCTGTTAGAAGGTCATCCCCTCTCTATTGAGTTACCCCCGCACTTTTGTGGAAATCAGTTGACCATATTTGCATGGATTGATTTCTGAACTGTCTACACTGGCCCATTGATCTGTATCTGAACTTCCACCATCGTGGATTAGTGCTGCTTTACAGTAAATCTTCAAATCAGATAGGCGTCCTCTTTGTTCTTCTTTTTCAAAATTACCTTGGCTTTTCAATTTATTTTTACTTTTCTTATAAATTTTCATATCAGCTTGTCATCATCCACAAAACAAAAAAAAACAAAACAAAACAAAACAAAAAACCCCAGCTGGAACTCTGATGAGGACTTTTTTTTTTTTTTTTTTTTTAAGATTTCACTTATTTGTGAGAGAGAGCGAGCGCATGCACACAAACATGGGGGAGCAGGAGGGAGAGGGAGAAGCAGGCTCCCCTCCAAGTGAGGAGCCCAACACAGGGCTTGATCCCAGGATCAAGAACCTGAGCTGAAGGCAACCGCCTGACTGAGCCACCCAGCGACACTTGATGAGGATTATGTTAATTCATCTGTAGATGAATTTGGGAAGAACTGATGTCTTGATAGTATGAAGTTTTCCAGTCCATGAGCATGGTATACCTCTCTGTTACGTAGGCCTTCACTGACTTCTCTTACCAGTCTCCTGTATTTTTCAGCATATGGTGTTATTGCTAGTATGTAAAATACAGTGGTGCATATAATTTACCCCGTAACCTATGCCCTTGCTAAACTCACTTATCAGTCTTAGGAATTTTTGTAGATTCTATGGGAGTTTCACATAGACAGTAATGACTGTGAATAAGTCTCCCTTCCAATCTATTTGCCCCCCTTTCCTCCTGTTTCAGTGAACTGGCCAGGGCTTCCAGTACAATGCTGCACGGGAGTAGTTACGATGGATAGAACCACCTTGTTCCCAACCTTGGGGGGAAAGCTTTCAGTCCCACACCATTAAGCATGCACGTTAGCTCTGAGACCAGGTCAAAGAGATCGTTGTATTTCTCATTCACTGAGTTTTTTCATGAATGAAATGTTGGCTTTTGTCTCTGGCATTTTCTGCATAAAATGTGATTTTTCTTCACAAATGTTAGTTTGGTGAATTATAGATTGATACTCAGAGGTTGAACCAGCCTTACATCCCAAGGATTAATTTTACTTCTTGTGACGTATTAACCTTTTTATATATTATTGGATTTATTTTGTTAATATTTTGTGGATAAAAAAAACCCAGGACTTAGGTTCATGAAGGATATTGGTCTGTAGCTCTCTAGACCACATACTCATGGAACAATCCTCGAGACAGACTATATGTTCTGGGCCACAAAACAAACTTCAACAAAAGTTTCAAATCTTGAACAATAGAACTGAAGTTATAGAAAACATGTTCTTACTACATCAGAATTAAAAGCATAACGGGAAAAAACACATTTAACAACCCACTAGACAAAAAGACATTTCAAGGTGAATTAGAAAATATCCTGAAAAGTGAAAATTAAACTATTATCTGGAGCACTCTTGGTGGCTCGGTTGGTTAATTGTCCGACTCTTGATTTCAGCTCAGGTCATGATCTCAGGGTCGTGGGACTGAGCAGAGTCCGCCTGTCCCTCTCCTTCTGCTCCTCCCCTTGCTCTATGTTCAAAATAAATAAAAATCTTTCAAAAAATAATAAAACTATCGAAATTCATGGGATGTAATCAAAGCAGTGTCTGGAGAAAAACTTGTAGCATTAAAATTCCAATGTTAGAAAAATAATAAAGGTCTCGGGGTGCCTGGGTGGCTCAGTTGGTCGAGTGGCGGCCTTTGGCTCAGGCCACGATCCCAGGGTCCTGGGATTGAGCCCTGCATCGGGATCCATGCTCAGTAGGAGGCCTGCATCTCCCTCTCCCTGCTGCTCTGCCTACGTGCATTCTCTCTCTGTCAAATAAATAGTTAAAACCTTGGAAAAAAAAGAAAAATAATAAAGGTCTCAAATCAATGATCTAAGCTTCCACTTTAAAGAAACCAGGAAAAAAAAAGAAAAAGAAAAAACAAATCCAAAATAGTAGGAAAGAAAAAGTAGACAGCAATGAAATACAAAACAAAAACAGTAGAAAAAAATAATACAAAGGTTTTGTTCTTGAAAAGAATATTACCTTCTAACCAGACTAACAAAGAAAGAGTGGGAAAAAGTCATCAACACGAGAAATTAGGATGGAACATCATTACAGACCCTACAGACAGCGGCGTCTGTGCAACAGACCAACTCCTTGGAAGACAAATTCCTGACCCTCACGTGGGACGATAACCTGAAGAGCACTGCACCGGCGTGAGAAACTTTATTTCATAGTTGAAACCTCAGCCCCACTGGGGAGTCACCCCCAGCACTTAAGAAGGAATACCTGTCCTCCTATCGGGGGAAGTCCTCTACGTGCGGCCTCGTTAATGCTGTTTCCCCCGAAACACACGTGCGCCCAGGCAGGAGTAACAGTGCCAGGCAGCTCTGGGTGCACACCAGTATTTACTTAGGACATTTAGGTGTCGTGACCACCCCAGGCAGTCGGCGGGAAGCAGCCACACGTGGCTCATTGAGTGACCTGACATCGCAGACAGCGCCTGCCTGCTTGTAACCCCACAGGGGCAGGGGTCTGAGTTCAGAAATAAAGAGCCAAGCGATGGTTCCAAACCCACACAAAGCCTTTTCTGCGAGGCAGGCGCGGGTCTCTAGGGGACCTTGAGGTCCAGCATCGCCAAGGCTCCGCTGTAAGCCTGCCTGCTCTACGGGGATCCCAGTCCCGACGGCTGGTCTCCGGCACAAGAGGCATGGGATGGAAACTGAGGCAGCACCAGGCCCTCCTCTGCAGTCACCTGGAAGCAGTAGCAGCTTGGCAAGGGCTGGGGCCTGGGCCATTCCCCCACCCGATGCGGCCCTCACAGAGGAGCCGGCCGCCCCCCTCCACGTGCCTGAGTGTGCTCTGAGGACCCAGGCCTCCCCTTCTGTCCCCTCCAGACAGGCCATGCTGTGCCCTCTGCCCCACAGCTCCCCCTTCCCATCCCTCTGGCTGCAGGGAGCAGGTCCTGTCCACAGATGGGGCCACACAGATGGCTGCGTGTCAGGAGACCCAGCTGTCCACACCCCCAGCTGTCAATCTGACAAGCTGCTCCGCATCTACTTTTGCCTAGAACCCCACATGGCTCCCCTGTGCGGCCACCACACCCACAAGAAGGGCCCATGTGTGAAGGCGTCCATCTTCCCCTGCAGGAAATCGGGGAGCCGGTCTTTGGGTTGGGAGCTGGCCCCCGTGAACTCCTTTGCACGGTGCTGCCTGGCTCTGTCTGGCACGTGGACTCCTGGCGTATCACCCAGGCTTGACAAGTGGCTGTCAGGCTGGCTCGCAAGCCGCCAGCCCCATGTCTTCTGTGAGCAACAGGAAGCAGCCAGAGGGAGAGCAGGGTCCGCAGCAGATGCCCAAGGGGAACCTCTCTTCAGTGGGACATGGGGGCTGTGTGCAAACAGTACGGTACGAAGTCACGGGGTCCTGGGAGTTACAGGGGAGGGGCAGTGAGGACCCCATGTGCAGCCCAGGCCGGCCAGGTCATGAGTTTAGAAACGGGAAAGCTGACGACTCTGGGCCAGGAGGCTCTCTCGCTGCCACCTTCTGCGACAACGTCCACGGGGCCTCGGGGCCCTCTCCTGTGGTAGTCCCGGCCCCCACCAGGCGGGGACAAGCCACCAGCTCCATTCCGACGAACAAGGAGCTACAGCCACCACTGGCCGCCGGGCTCTGCAGGCCGTGGCCGGGCTCCAGGCTAAGTGCTGGTGCTCCTTTTGGGGAGCCTGTGCCGAATGGGCTCCACTCAGAGGGGGCCCCCTGCTCTCCGGGACCTGTCAGTCTGGTCTCTGCCTCCCCAGACTCCCCGGGGACCAAGAGGGAGGAGCCATCCAGGGGAGGGGACTGCACGGAGCCCTTGGGCGACAGGAGGGTGGGACTCAGAGGCCGCAGGAAGGCTTGGCTCCCAGCGAAAGGCACAGCATCGGTCAGCAGGTCAGACAGGCCCACGGGGGCAGCAGCGGGGCCCAGCTCAGCTGGGGGCCTCCGGGCAGGGGGCCGCTGTCGGCAGGAGGCTTCAAAATGCCTCAGGATCTGGACGTGAAAGGAAAGGGGACTGGCTGAGGGCTTCCGTGCACCCCTGGGGCGCACAGAGACACCCCCTCCCAAGCACTCCGGCCCAGAGAGCAGGCCGCTCGGCTGCCCACCCAGACCTCTTCCTCCTGCTGTCCCCCACCTGCTCCAACACCGGCCATGCCCTCTGCACCCACACACGGCCGCGCCTGCGTCACACAACGGACACTTCCCCCATCAGCGAACCTCACTGCGCGGCGAGCCAGCTTGGGGAGAGGCGGTCCCCTGTCGGGCGCCACACCAGGCCCTGACACAGACGCCCTTCCCCACTGCTACACACAAGGCCTCCCCCCGCCTTCTCGTCCCCACAAATCCCACTACGACTGGGACTGAGATGTCGCTGGGTCATTAATTCTTTGCTGAAGGATAGTTGAAAGGCCAGCAACTCCAGGTCTGAGTTTTCTGGGGCCACAGAGCGATGGAGACACCAGAGACGCCAACAGGCAGAGCAGCGGCCAGGGCCTGGCTGCAGGGGTGCTGCCCAGAAGCTCCCCAGAGAGTCAGGTGCCCTGCACACCATTCAGGCATCAGTGGAAAAAGGACTCTGGGAGAACAAAACCATTTCTGGCCTCCAGGAGCCAGGGAGGGGTCTGGGAGCCAAGCACGGACCCGTGACCTGTGACCCAGGGTGGAGAACAGGAGCAAGCAAGGAGGGCTTCCCGCAGAAGGCTGGCTATGAACCAAGCCCAGTGGGAGGCGGGCTGCATGCCCAGCAGAGCCGCTAAGCAGTAAGGCAGGTGAATGGGCAGGTTCCAGGCACCGGAAGAGGCCGGGGAGAGGGGAGTGCCATGAGCCGGGAAACCCAGCTGCCGCTCTAAGGGCACGAGCTGTCCACACAGCAAGGAGCAGCTGGGACAGGCTGCCCGGGACAGGAGTGGGGCTGCCGGGGCACCCCCTTACCCGCCCTCTGCGCCCCGGCTACCACCCACCTTGGTGGCCTTGCTGGTCACAGGTCCCGGGCTGCCCGCACTGAGCTCCTGTAGCCGCGGCCGGGTGAGAAGCAGGATGTGCTCCTGGGAGAGCAGGTCAGTGCGCCCCAGGGATGCAATGGCGCCCAGCGCTCTCTGCCAGGCACACAGAAGGTCAGCACGGTCCACCCCGGGACCAAGGGCCATCTGGCCAGCTCCCTTCCTCCTGGCCCAGTTGCGGCTCCAAGGCCAGGAAGCCCTGGGGCAGGCCACCCTGGAATCCTGGGCTCACTTCCCCTCCTGCCCAGGTCAGATTGCCAGTGAGGAGGTGACCAGCTACCCCTGCCTGCCCCCCTGCACCTGTCCGCACCCCCCCATGGGCAGGGCCTCACCATCTGCACGCACTCGCTGGTCCCATCCAGGCGGCGGGTCAGCAGCTCGAGCACGGCCTCACAGTTGAGCAATCCACACCTGCAGGGGGCAGTCAGAAGGTGGGGTGCAGGGCCGGGGGCCGGGGGCCGGGAGTGGGGAATGGCAGGGGACTCACTCTTTGATGAAGCACTGGGCCTCCTCTCGGCTCAGAAAGGCGCGCGGCCCGTGTGTCACAGTCTGGACCAGGCTCTGCTCCTGCCGGCAGTCACTCAGGGCCACGGCCTCCACCCTGTTGTGGGCACAGTGGTCAAGATCGGAGAGAGACCCCTCCAGGCCAGGACTCCATGCAGGATGGGACCCAGAAAAGGACCAGGAGGAAGCCCTAGGGTGCCCACTCACCGCTCTGCCAGGTCGCTGGGTGCCTGGCTGGCCGCCGAGGGGCTGTCACTGCCAGACTGACTGCCTGAGTCCGAGGCCTTGCTCGGCTCTCCGTTGTCCTGGGAGGACGTCTGGGAGCTGGAGCTGGTGTCTGGCTCATCCCAGCCCCCTCCAGCCTGCCCAGGCTGGGGTCTCAGGACTGTGAGAGATGGGACTGGGGGTGAGATCGGGGGGCCTCTGACCTGCCTCATATGCCCCTCCCGGGGCACCTGGACTAGAAAACCCAGGGAAGGGCCTGAGCTCCAGATGAACACTGGGCACAAGATAATGTGGGACAGAGCGGGGCACCCCTCACATGGGTGGCTCAGGGTGGGGACCGCCAGCCTGGGACGCCTGCCTGGGACATGCCTGCCTCAAGCCAGCTCACGCAGACCCAGCAGCGCTGGGCACCCAAGGCCAGAGGAGCGCTGGCCCATGGCAGGAGATGCAGGGCCCAACAGGGCGGCACTCAATTCTCGGGGATTCCTGACGCTCTCTTTCCAGCCAGCCGAGCTCCCAGAAGCCTCTGCTACAGGCAGAGAGGCCGATCACCCTGACGCTTGTCCCAGTGACATTCCTGGCCACACGCCCGGCTATGAGCCCCCGTGCCGCTGTCTACTCCCCCGGGTGGACACTGGGGGAGTAGACGTGGATGCTGGTCCTGGCCGTGCACCCCTGCTGTCCTGGCTGAACCAGCAGCAACCGGGCTGGGGCCTCAGGTCTGTATCTCAGTGGGGGGAGAGGCTCTAGGAGCCCCACCTGCTTTGGGATTGTAACACCCGAGCTCCTGGCAAGAGACTGGCAAAGCAGCATCTACATGCCGTGCATAACCTTTGTGTGACAAGGAAGCCACCGCAGAGACCTGGCAAACATGCAGCAGGCCGGTGGGAGGCTCTGCGGGGGCGCCGCACGCCCTAAGGAGCATCAGGTCACGTGCTGCTTGAGTCGTGGCCAGATCAGCACAGCGGAGTCCCCGCTCCGCGCAGGGCACCTTCTACACCCCCGCCGACTGCCCCTCCCTGAGCCAGGAAGCCCTGGCTCTCGCTACTAAAGGAGTCTTGCTCTCCGCGCCCCACTGTCCCCTCTCCCCGCTCAGAGGACAGGGAAGGATGGCTCATCCGGACCCCCGCCGGGAAAAGCCAGACCCCCCAGAAGAGTCTCACCATTTCCTCGGGCACCTGGGAGGGCGCCAGGGAGCGGCTTCCCAGCACCCGGGCCGCCGCCGGCCGAAAGCGTCATGGCAGGCTGGTAGGCATCTCCCCGCGGCAGGGAGCTCTGGGTGCGGGGGCTCTCGGGCCCAGGGCGCACAGCGTTGGCCACCACCTCCGCAGCCTTCTGGATGGTGGAGAGGAAGGCTTCGCCCGCAGAGCCTGCAGCAGAGGGAGAGGAAGAGGGTGACGGCCCTTTTCGGTCCTGTCCTCCGTGCTCGCCCACATGTCCTGGGGGGAGAACCTGATCCCGCTCAGGGCTCAAGAGGTGGAGATCTGAGCTGTAGTTACAGAGAAGAGGCTATGCAGGGGATCTGGGTCCTTCCGGAAGCTTCCCTGGGGAATTCTGCTTCAGTATATCCCCAGGCCCGATGGAGCCCAGGTGCTCCACAGCTTACAGCAGAACCATGCCCCTCGGTCCCCTCACCCTGTGTGGGAGCAGGGGACAAGGTGCTGCTCGTGCTGGAACTCACAAGCCCCACGGCGGCTCAGGCCCTTGCTCACGCGAATGCCCCACAGGGACCAATCCCCATCACCCCCGTGTCAGGAAGAGACAAGACCTCCAAGCAGGTCTGGCATTAGGCTTCCCAAGCGCTGGGGGAGTCTGAAAGCCGGGACAAGAACGGGTAGCACATGGGCCACCACAGCTTCTGCCCCGAATCAGCACCACACCCACTCGGGGTCGCCTCTGTCCCCGCCAGGCCCAGCACCCTGTGCCCTCCAGCCCTTGAAGGAGCCAGGGGCTGGGCACCCACACATGCAACGGAGGCTCAGCCTTCTTTTTTGCCTGCTGGTGCGGACCTGCCCTGCCTCCTCGTCCCGCAGAGAAGGGCAGAGAAGACTATGGGCGCCAGGTACAGCAGCCCAGCAAGACCCCCCTCCATGCCTCAGCAGGCCCAAGCTGCCAGGCACCCTGCACCCGAGAGCCCCCGCAGCACTCACCCACGTGGCCCCGCTCCTTGCTGTAGCCGAAGCCCTGGAGGGCGCTCTGGGGTCTGGACTGCGAGCCCATGCCTGTGGACAAGGCCCACGTCAGCCTCAAGTGTGGCCACCCACCCCCAGCCCTGCTCAGGGCAACATGCTAGCCAAGCACGTCAGGTGGGGAGGAGGGACCCCGAGGCCTCCCCAGAGGGAAGACTCATCAGCAGGGATGGACACAGTATCCTACCCGCTGGAGGCAGGGCCCTGGGCGGCTGGGAGGGAGGTGGAGGCGACAAGCTGTCAGAGAACAGGGCGCTCCCCAAGTCCTAGATGAGGAGAAGGGCGCTCAGTCCATGGGGTCTGGCTGCTGTCCCCAGTCCCCATGGTTCTCTGAGGACCAGCCCAGATCTGGTCTCACAGCAGGAACGGAGCCAGGGTCCCAGGTGGTGGAAGAAGGACTCACCTGGGCAGCTGCGCGCACCTTCTGGTACAAGCTGTTCCCATGGAGAGGATCCGGGGGCCCCGAGAACACTGTGGGCAGAGCCAGAGTGACAAGGCTGAGCGGCTGGCCCCCAGGACACTGAGCTGTAGCCCATCCCAGCCTGGGCCGCCCCCCATCGGCCCCTAGAGCTCTGAGCCCTGGCAGGTGACCCCGCACACCCAGGGTCCGATAAGATTCCCAAAGCTCAGGTCTGTGCTCAAGTTCCCCACGTGATGCGGCTTCCCGGTCCAAGTCCCTACAGTGACACGGCTTCCTGGTCCCTATGGCAGCCACCAGCCTGGGGAACCCGCCGCTCCCCAGAATACTGCTGCTCCTTGGTCCAAGCCTGGGAGCTCCCAGAGCCCCTTCTCCAGGACCCACTGCCCCAGGCTTCTTTTCAGAGCCACATCACCTTCCTGGTCCATGGAGGCGGCAGGCCTGGGGCCCCCTCGCACATGCGCACAGCAGCCAGGCCCACGTTTCAACCTGCAGGAGGGAGCAAGGGGGCCCCTCTCCCTGACCCCACTGCTGTCTCTCTCAGCTGAGCCCCTACACTGGTGGCCTAACCACCTCCCTCAACCCACTGTCCACCCAGAGAAAACACCAGTGAGTCCCATCCAATTCCAGCCCTGCAGGTCCTCACGGGCTCAAGGGTCGAACCGTTCATCATGGCCTCCAAGCTCTGCCTTTCCAGGAGCATCAGCCGTGGCAAACGAGATTTTCTTAGAAAAAATTTAACCTTCGCAAGCTCTCCCTGTCTCCTCTGTCACAAACACGTCCCACACCGGCCTGGTGCTGCCCTGTCTCCGTCCTGGCAGGCGGCCCAGCATGTGCACACATCAGCCCCTGGGCCCAGCCGGGACTGATGGCCGGAAACTGAGCCACCAGTGAACAAGGAACAGCACCCGGCCCCTCCTGTGCAAGCCGAGGAGGTCCTCCGCGGGCTCCCCTGCCCCAGAGCCACCCGCTGGCCCAGCCCCACCTCCCCACGGCCAGTGGCACGGTCCCCCGGGGTCGGTGCTAAGAGCACAGTGGACCGAGACTGTTACGTGGTAGTCGCCCTGTGGTGAGAGAGACCGTGGTGCTAACAGAGAACCGCGGTCTGCCCACCCCCACCGGCCCCACCGAGCCGCTCTACCCGTGCTCTGGGGGCGCAGGGCCCAGGTGATGACTCGCACGGGCCACGGTGCACACCGCTGGGACCCACCAGCTGGCGAGAATCACTGAGCATGCCGTTTCCATGAGCTAGTTCTGGGGAGCTCGCTGGGACAAGGACGAGCCCCGACGGACCCCTGGGGCAGTGTCTGGTTTTGTGCGGTGATGCTCTCCCGGGCACCAAGCGCCTGCCTGCACCCAGCCCTGCCTTCAGTGAAGGGCCGACCGTGGTTTCGGAGCGGGGGGGCACCCCAGCACCTGGCAGGTAGGACATGCTGCCTAACTGCTAGGGTCCCCTGTGAGCACCAGATGGCCCAGAGCAACTCAGTTCCCCTCCATGGTGCTCCCTCTCGCGGACTGCTCGGTGGTCACGGCTCTTGCCTCGATTCATTCAGGCCGTGTGCTGGGGTCTGTGTCCCCAAGACCACCCAGGGCTCCTGCCTTAATGGAGGGGAAGGTCTCAGGCTGCATCCCCCCAGGTCCTAGTTAAGGAGCAAGATAGGTGACAGCCCCCGGCCTGAGCGGGGGGTGGGGGTGAGACATGCATTTAGACCCCAACAGGCCAGAGCCCACCTCCCCGAAGGCCTCCCACAGACCTCCTGAAGCAGAAGCTGACGGTGCTCCCCGTCCCGGGCCCTGAGGAAGAGACGGAGCCCGTGACTCCGGGAGGCGGCGCTGATGCCGGCTGATCTCCTGTGGTGTGCCAGGCCCCAGAACAGGCAAAACAGCTCTGGGCCACCACGGCATGGCCGGGCATGCGGGCAGAAACTGGCCACTCTGTCCCGTGCTGCGGGCGCAGCTGTGACGGCCAGAAGGGGAAGGCGCGGGACAGAGAAGGTGGCAGCTGGGGTGTGGGGTGCTGGCGAGAAGACTTGAGCTGCGTGGGGGGACCCTGGCTGCCCGTCCCCCTGCCCGCAGTACCTGCGGCTTCCTGGATGAAGGCCGGGTTGCGTTTGAGGATAAGCAGGGAGGATGCGGAGCCGTGGGCACACAGGTGCAGCAGGATCTTCAGCACCTGCAGGACAGTCACGGGGGCGGCACCGGAGGACAGTCACAGAGGCGGCACAGGCCCGGAGGGCAGCCGGCACACATCCCGCTGCGTCCTCCTGCCCCGCCAGCCACTGGCCCCGACCCCGGGGAGGGTCTTCGGGGGCCACGCTCACCTTGAGCTTCACGCGGCCGGAGCCGCTGTGCAGACGGTTCAGAAGGTACTCCAGGAGGCACTGGCTGCTGCCCAGGGACTCGTGGGAGATCTCTGGGAGGCGCTTGGGTTAGGGAAGGAGTGCACTGAGCCCGGGCCACGCTAGGGCCTGGCTGGGGAGAGAACCCGGCCTTCCTGCCACTGGGCTTTCCAGGAGCCCTCCCACCAACACCCACCCGGCCCTGGTTTCCAGAGCTCGGGGCTTGGGGACCTCCTGAACCCCGGGATGTCCTAATGTAGCTTTGGGCCCCACACACGTAGTCTCCAGGGTAGAAGAGCGGCTCCAGGGCCCCGCGTGTGGACACAGGGAAGGATACTAGCGATCTCCTCGAACAAGTACCCAGGACACGGGACATCGTCGTCCGACGTTCCCTTCAGCAGGACCGGGAGCTGGAAGGGAGCAAGAGCCCCCTGAGCGCACGGCGGGACAGAACCAAGGCTGGTCCCCATCGCGCCAGAGCGGTGCGCGGGCAGGATGGGAGCCTCCGGGACACACCGGCCGAGCAGCGCCCGCACTGGGCTTACTGTGGACAGCGGACGGCTGCTGTCCGGAGCCCCGGAACAGGCGCGTGGAAGGCGCGGGAAGCTGTGGACGTGCCCTCCTCACGCACCTGCCCGCCAAGGGGGAGCCGCAGAGGCCCGTAGAACCGTGACGCGCGGGGCCCAGAGCGGGAGCTGACGGCCCGGCCCCGCGGACAGCGCCGGGGAGCGCCGCGGGCCGCCGCGCGCAAGACCATCACCCCGGTCTCTGCAGGGCAGGGCCGCTTGTCGAGGCCCGGAGGCCGTCCCCGCGAGCTGCCTCCGGGCCGGCGCAAGACGGGGCCCTGACCCGCACACAGCTGCGGGCCGCCCGGCGCTGCCCAGCCGGCTGCCCCTCAGTCCTCCCGGCGCGGACACGCCAGCGCGCGGGGCTTCCCCGGGCTAGGTCCAGCGGGGACGCTCCCCGGGGCTGCGTTTCTGCAAAACCAGAAAGCCAGACCCCGGAGCCTCCGGCCGCCTCTCCCGCTCGGTTCTGGCCCCGCGGCCGCAATGTCCCGCGTGGGTCGGACACTGGCCATGCCGCGGCCGTGGAGACGGGGAGGGCCGAGGGGAGCGGCGGGGTCTCCGAGCCCCGGAGGAAGCCCCGACGGGGGCCGAGCGGGAGCAGGGCGGAGCCGCGGTCGCCCGTACTCACCCGCTGCAGGAAGCTCAGACGGTCCCGCAGTAGCGGTGCGGCCGCCATGTTGCCGGTCACCTTCCGGCCCCGCCCGCGGCCGCGGCCCCGGACCCCCTCCAATCAGCGCGCGCGCCTGGCCCAGATGGCCAATCGCTCTCGCGGGGCGGGTCCCCGCGCCGAGCCAACAGACAACTTGAGCCTGAGCCAATCTAAAGTCCCAATCCAAGACAGACAAATCCACGAGCCACTTGCAGAGGAGAGGGAGAACCGACACCGCCCCGGAAGAGGAGCGTGGACTGAAGCCTGGCCAATGAAGAACCGCAGGGACGACTGCGGGCGGAAGGTGCTCCTATCGAGCCGCCGGACACCGGAAGAGGACGGGCCCAAGATGGCGGCGCCCAGTGTTGCCGGGAGGAAGCGCTCATGTCGGGGAACGGAGCGGTGTGGGGGCGCGTGCGAAGCCGCCTCCGCGCCTTCCCCGAGCGCCTAGCAGCCTGTGGAGCCGAGGTGAGGAGCTGCCGGGCGGGGCAGTGCCTACGGGACGGGAAGGGCCCGCGCGGGCAGGGCGGTGACCGGCGGGGCGCGGGGTCTGTCCCGGGAGACGGGCGGGCGCGGGGGCCTCCACGATCCTCGCCCTTCCCCGCCCGCCCACAGGCCGCGGCCTACGGCAGGTGCGTGCAGGCGTCCACGGCCCCCGGCGGCCGCCTGACGAAGGATCTGTGTGCGCGGGAGTTCGAGGCCCTGCGGAGCTGCTTTGCCGCCGCGGTAGGTGGGCGCCGCCCCGGTCCTCTCCCTTCCCGGCCCCGCCGAGCGGGGGGCCCGCAGGCCTGCCTTCCCTTGCCGTGCGTCCGGTGCCGGTGCCTGCGGCCGCCTCGGAACTCGGGTGCCCGCGCCTGTCGGGGGAGGGGAACGGCAGCCCCCGCGCGCGGATGCCGGTGCGGGGCGCGCGGGGCGAGCGCCTGGAGTTCGTGGGGTGAGGTGGCCGTGGTGTCCAGAGGAGCCCCGGGCGCCTCCGCACCCGCAGTCTTCGCTTCGCGGGCGGTGAGCGCCCCACGGGTGTGCTGGGCGCGCGGCTGCGGCCCTGAAGCCCGCCACGCCCACCGAGAACCTCGCTGCCCCGACGGCCTCAGGGGCACTCGCAGGTCACTCTGCTGGGCTCGTCAGCCCCCGCCGCCCTGGAGGGGGCCGTGTGGCACCAGTCGGCGCCTCCCTCGGTTGGGACTCTGGGCGCTCAGCAGCACGTCCCTTCTGTTCCCCAGGCGTTTAGTGATCCCTGTGGGGTCAGGTGGGCAGCTGTGAGTCCGAAGGTCACCAGCCCCGGGCAAGGGAAGACCTAGCGTCCCCACGTCTTCCTGAAGGGTGCGGCAGGTCGGGTTGGAGGAGATGCAGACACGCCCGGGGAGCCTGGGTCGGGGTAACAGAGGGCGTGAGGAGGGGCTGCCTGCCGTGTGGGTTCTGGGCCGGCGCCCTGTGTGTTGGGTCGGGGTCGGGCCGTGATGGCAGCAGCTGTGATGTCCTCCAGAGCTGCTGGTACAGAGACCTGGACCACAGACGGGGCAGCGGGGTGAGCAGAAATTAGGGCTGCTGAGGCCATTTCCCGGCATTCCAGGGCCCCCTGAGCGACCGGCTTTCTGCGGCTCGGCCGCTCCTGCAGGGAGAGGACGTGCTCGTGCTGCCTTCCCCGGGGACCTCCCTTGTGATCATAACGGCCGCACCGCCCTGGGCTCGTCCTGCCCCCATCCCTGGTCAGCCCTTGTCACCAGCCACAGGTCTGACGTGGGCCATTCACCCAGGGTCACACCTGTCGCCTCGGTGGCTTCTCGTGGTACAGCCCTCCCCAGAGCACAGGGGTCGCTGCTTGGAAGAACTTACGTGTGAGACGAGGACCAGCCGCGATAATTACAGGTTTCCGGGGTGGCCTTCTGTGGCGGGCAGTTCCCCGTTCCGCGTCTGCGCTCGCCTTTGCTCTGATCCCGCAGAGGTCCCCACACTCCGCGCCCCACGCTCAGGAGCTGTTCCACGCGCCAGCGTCACAGAAGAGGACAGGCTCGGGGACTAGGTGCCTGAGTGTTTCTCTCGCAGACGCGCCCCTTCTGTCGGACTCCACGGCACTGGCGGGGAGCAGCGTGAGAGGCAGAAAGGGCGGCAGGCTCCCGTCCAGCGTGTCCCGGGAGCCGTGTCTGCGCGAGTGTTCAGCGCTTGGCCGCAGCCTTCTCTGTAAGCGGCGTTGCTGCCTCGGAGCACCCGGCCGGGGGTGTCGGGGAGGCGGCGTCTGCACAGGGCCTGGTCCAGGGGGCGTGGCTTTGGGGGCGCCGGTGTGGAGCAGGTGGAGCGTGGCCCGTGGCAGCTGGGAGCACCCACGCCCCCTGCTAGGCGTCCCTGTCCGCGGCGCCGGTGGCCAGGCTCTCGGGAAGGTAGTGGCTGCCAGACAGCGTTTGGTGGGCGGTTTCCTTACTCCGCAGCCTCATCTCACTTACCCGTTCACACCAAATCCTTTACCTTCCAGGCCAAGAAGAGCCCGAGGGGAGGCCTTTAGGATGGACGAGCCAGCACGGCACTTCCGTCTGCTGCCCCAGGGAGCAGAGCCCAGCGGCGCCGACGGCCCCAAAGGGCAAATGGCGGAAACACGCGAAGCGTTCGGAGCTGAGAGCACTGGGGCTGGGGGCGAGTTGGTGTTCCTGCGCCGCGTGCGTGAGGGTTCGGGTTAGCGGGAGACCCAGGGAAGCCACAATAAAGAGCAGGGCGGACCGCACCAGAGCCCCGTTCTGTCGTGCGCGGAGCACCCTGGGCCGTGGGGACACGCTGCTCGGGATGGTCACTTTTTGAAGAATTTTCATCTGAAACACCTTACCTGAGCCTGACCGAGGCCGCAGATGTAGCTGCCGCTTTACAGGCCGTGCCGGAGCCAAAGTCCAGCCGCCGCGAGGGAAAGAGCCACGGGTAGGGAAGGCCACTCAGGCAGTTTTTCTGGACTTGGAAGCAAAAAAGGAGGGGCTGCCCTTCTAGAGGCGCCAGCCAGCCGAGGGAGGGTCTGGCTTAGGAACTGCTGGGTTCCTAAGCAGCAGTGACTGTGGGGCACCTGTCCTTCTGCAGCCCCCCCAGGTCAGAGCCCAAGCCCTCCTGACAGTCCCTGTCCTCCACCCCAGCCCTGCCACCTGAGAATGAAACCAGGCACAGTCCAGGGATTCCACAGGTCCAGAGCACCGCCTGCTGGACACTTGGGGACTGTGCTCCAGGAGCCTGGAGGTCACCTTTCCCTTGGGGTCCATAGCCCCTGGCCTGCCAGAGTCCAGCATCCATGCTCGGATGGGGGGCGGTCCATGCCCTGGCCCCACACACACCCAGGGCCAGAGCAGGAAGGGGTGGGCCTGGGAGCCCAGCGCTCCTCACCACGACCCTCCTCCCTCCTGTGGCCTTGAGGGTGGGCCTTTCCAGATCCTCACACTCTCCATTCTGACTATCGGCAGCCTCTTATGGGGAGCACATGGGTCTCTGCTGGGCACACTGGCTCCGAGCCACTTCTGGAACAGTCCTACCAGGTGCCCTCCTGCCCCCATGTCTCCCAGCTCTAGTCCAACCTCCTGTGTCCCTCCCCTTCGGGCCGTACACCCAACTCCCTTCCATGTTCCTTGGCCTTCGTCCTTGTTTTCTGACTGAGGGAAATGCCACAGAACTGGTGCTGGATGCAGCCATTCCTGCAGCCGCAACTCCGTGTGCCGCACTGCACTGGGTTTCCATCCTCACTCCCACCTACCTCCAGTCGCTGGCCCTGCCCTAGAACAGGAGTCCACAGGCAAGATCCTACCCCAGTCGCCCCGGGCAACTCCCCACCAGGAGGGTCACCCGCTGGCAGCTGTTTACGGTGCTTGCCTGGCCCACTCCTTGCACCTGTGAGTCTTTGCACCAGTGGTCTGGGGTCAGAAGGCAAACGACAGCTCCCAGCCCCTCCAGCTCCCTGTGTTCCTGGCAAGGTGACCTCACCCAGAGGTCCTGGGTCCTTCCCTGAGGGGGTGAAGGCTGGGGAGGCCGGGAGAGTGTATACTGGGATGCAGACCCCAAGTGTCCAGGGGAGCGGGGACTGGGTCCCCCACTCTGAGGAGGACGTGACTTTGCAGACTGCAGGAGGATGGCCTGACTTCCAGAAGACCCGGAAGTCGGGCCAAGGTAAGAGATCCAGGTAAATGTGTCCAGAAATACATCCCACTCTAAAAAGTGGAGTTCTGATGTCGGGGAAACATCCAGAAGGCATTTTCCCGGTGAGCAGTGTTTGTTTGGAATTGTTTTTACCTAAGCACAGGAAGCACCCCAAGACCCACCCCCCTCTCCGGGGCTCTCCGCTGCAGGAGCAAGTGTCCGTCAGCTCCAGTCTCCCTAGCACCAGCTCCTGGGGTCAGGAGGAAGCCCCTGGGCCTTTTGTTACTTGTTTCTAGCCGTCAGGCTGTCCGAGGACACGGGACTACAATAAACAACGTAATTTCAAAGGCGCAGGGGAGGTCGAGGCCAGAAGCCATGGCTGGAGCTGCCAGGAAGCTGTGGTCCCTCACGTGCCCGGGCCCCTCTGGCCAGCAGCCACACCTGGGGCCCCGGCAGCGGGGTCAGGAGCACTCACTGCCCTCGGAGCGCGGGGCAGAGCTGGTGAGAGCCCTGGGCTTGCGGGTGGACAGCCCACCATGGCCACACCTGCCCGCTGGCCTCGGCCAGGAGGCGACCATCAGCTCTCCTGTTCTTTGAAAACGGGACACCACAAACCCCCCCACACACACACACAGCTGCTCACAGGGTTGTTGGAGGCCGTGATGCGTCGGGCTTCCCCGCCCCCCAAGGTCTGGTCCACAGGCGGCCTCACGACCACCAGCACAGCGCCACACCAGCCTCACGGACCAGACACCACGATGTCTCTAATTTGTAAACAACTTTATGGTTTAGAAAAGCAGAGGGAGCGTGGAGAGCAGAGGGGCTGTGACGGGGGCCGAGGCAGGCACACAGGCTGGCAGCTCTGACCCTCGAGACGCCCGTAGCCACGAAGCTGCGTCCGGCGAGGAGCTGCGCGGGGGCCAAGCTCGTCACGGTTCTCTGCAACCCTCGCAACGTCTCGTTTGCGACGACTGTTTGGAGAAAGCGGGAGCCTGGCGTGCAGCGGGTTCTCACGGCAGCCCGTGTCCACACCAGGGCTGCCCACGCTCCCCAGCCGGCCGCTGCGTCACCTGGGTCCTGCTGAGCTCGGTCACTTGGACAAGCTGAAGATGCAGGATGGAGAAGGCACAGGCCGCCTGGACAGCGAGGCCGTGGTGACAGGCCGCTCAGACCCCCAGCCACAGCATGACTGACTCTGCACCCACATGGCCTCGGCATGGCTGGCTGAGACCCACCAACTGGGAGGACAGCAGCGGCTGGTGGCCGCTCAGGGCTCCTCTGGGGCCCCCACCAGCTGCTTTACCTGGCGGCCGTGGACTACCCACAAGGCACCCCCCGCAGCCTGGTGTAGCTGCGTCTCCAGCGCACGACGGAGGTCATTGACCTGCACGTCCGGGTGAGGGTTAAAGCTGATGATGACCCTGTCCCTTGGGGCCGGGTCCCCCCCTGCCCCAAGAGCCACATCCCGCCGTCTCCTCCTAAGGTCAGAACCGGCCTGGACTTTGAGGTCTCGGTTGGCTTTGGCATGGTCTAGCTTCTGAGCCCCAGGGATGGGCCCCGGATCAGGGTCCTGCCTCCGCTCCGGCTCCTGGACGGCAGTGTCCTCCCCCAGAGCAAGCGCACGGTCCCCAACGATGGCCTCCTTTCTGGCCTCCAGGTGAGCGCCCTGCTGCCCACCCTGAGTCCCAACAGAAACGGCCCGGTGTTCCAGCTGCCGAATCTCGGCCTGGGCCCCAGGGGCTGCTCCTCCTGACCTGCTGGGCAGGCCTGCAGGTCCCCGGCCTCGGCTCACCGGCTGGGACCTCACATGAGGGTCGCCATTCTCCTTCGCCCCCGGCACATTCGCTTCCTGAGCGCTGGCGCTGGGGGCCACCTCTTTTCGGGATTTCTTCCTTTCATGGGAGCTTCTGCCGAAAGTGTCCTGTTTGGGCAGCTCACCAGCAACGGGCTTCTCTGGGCTCTGGGGCCCCTCGGCAGGGTCCGGCATGGGCACCCGCTCCGGCATGCCAGCGCCAGCTGCCTGGGCCACAGCGCCCCGCCGGCCTTCCCTCGGCTCAGCCTGGGCCGCCCGGGGCTCCGTGTCGGCAACGCCAGGAGGACCCGCTGGAGCTCTGCCTACAGCCGCCTCGGGCTCCGCCTTGGGCTCCTCCAAGGCGCCTTGGCCGTGGCCCTGGGGTGGAGCGGGGAGACGCCCGGGGGCTCCAAGTGCAGGTTCCACAGGCTGCTGCGGGGGACGGTCCACGGTCTGCCCCTGCTGGGTCTCCTGCTCCTTCCCTCCGGGTGCCGGCACCCCAGGCTCTGGCTGCGCTTCGGCTGCAAATGAAGTCAGTCACCAACTGAACCGCGGGAGCGGACGGACACTACCAACACGGGGGCTGGAAGGGTGAACTGGCCGGCAACTAAACACGAGCCAGAACTTTGCCCAGCAGGACCCCAGGCCCCGGAGCCCCAGCCCCACGGAGTCACCAGGAGACCCCATGGGTGGCCCCGCGTTCGGTGATGACCCCCGGCCCAATCTGGCCCTGACTTGCCGTCCTCGCCGTCCTGCCTCTGCTGGTGGATCTCCTTGTGCTGCTCCTCGATCACCGCGAGCAGCTTCTCCTGCTGGTCTAGGAGCCGCTTCTGCTGCACCTGCTGCTCCTTGATCACCTGCAGGAGGACCGCGTGGTCCAGCATCTCCGCCCGGCCGGCTTCTGCGGAGGGGAGAGCGCACACTCGGAGCCTGCCCCGTCCACGCAGGCGCTGGGCTGGGTGGAGGGCAGAGGGATGCGGGGCGCCGGCCCCGGCTCGCCTGGGGGACCCTCCCCAGGATGCCCTTCGCTCACACCGGCCCACATGGGCCTGAGGTTTGGACATGCCCAGCAGGGGCCCAGCTGCTCAGATGGTCGCCCCTGGGACTAGACGCCGAGAGAAGCTACAGGGGAGGTCTGTGCCACCGTGGGAATGCTGCCATGTCCTGGGCTGGGGTGCGTTAAGCTACAAGCTGCTCTAAAAACAGAATCCCAGAACTCTGAGGAAGTTTCCTCCAAGGTGAGAATTTAGGAAACAAACAGAACAGCCTTCCCTTCCCGCACAGACAAGAAACGGGCCCTCGGTGAGGCAGAGGCCGGCTGCCGACACCCACAGGGCCCAGGCCCCACTCCTGACCACCGCCTAGGAGACTGGCTGCAGGCTGGTGCGGGGTGGGGCGGGGGGGCGCGCAGCAGGTGTGTGTCCGAGGACCCGCCCGGCTCTCCACGCCCCCAACCCACAACGTGGGCCCAGGAAGAGGCCCCGAGTCCGAGCCTGCAGCCAGCAGCGGCCACCTGTGGGAGCACCGGGGAGCTCGGCTTCTGCTGCAAAGGCCTCAGCACCAGCCGTCTCCTGCGCGCAGCCACGGCTTATGTAGCTGCTACGACCCGTCTGTCTTTGAACAGGAGGCTGTGAAAGATGACGCGGGCTGTTGGGCTGGGGGGCGGGCGAGCTCTGAAGGAAGGACGCTCTGGGCGTGGTGATGGCCCACATCCCGGCAAGGCTGCACACACAGACAAGCTGGCCCGTCCTCCCCAACGGTGACCCATGACTTGCCATGGTAGCGCGGGGTCGGCCTCCCTCCGGCCAGAGGCCCGTGAGGAATACGCTGAACCAGGCGGCAGGAAGGAGGAGCCACGCAGAGGCCCCTGCGGCCGTCCTCACCCCCACCCGACCCTCCTCCAAACACCCTAAGGTCGTGAAGACACCTGCCTGAGAAAGGCCACATCCTGTGGGCCCCGCCCCGGGCTCTAGACCAGCCACTTGGGCCATGCGCCTTGCTGTCACTCTGGGTACCCGTGGCTCACAGCCATTTAACAGTCAACAGTATGACGACAGCCGCCCAAACGGCCTGTCCCTGGAGCGGGTGCAGGAGGAGCGGCCCCAGCCGGCCCGGCCTCCCGGGGGACGAGCCCGGGACCAACGGTGCAGGAGGAGCGGAGAGGTGCCACGTCAGGTCCAGCCAGAAGCGACATGGGGGGGCCGGTGTGGACCAGAGTGGTGACAAGCCGCGCCCACGGACAGAGCCCGTCCCGCCGGGACCCCAGATGGATGCCAACGCGCATGCAGAACACGTTAATCCCGGGCCATGCCCGCGGCAGAACCTCCATGCAGGCCCTATCGGGGAGGCCCGAAGCAGGCAGCATGTGCAGACCGCACCCACCGTCCTCCAGGACCAGGGCATTTGTGGAAAGGGGAGCTAGGGCATCGGGGGAACCCCAGCTGCGGGGCTAGAGCCAAGCCTGGGGCGGGGGACAGGCTGCAGCAGCGGCTCCAAGTGAAGCCTGTGGCCGGCCAGCCTGCGCCTTCCCCTCTCGCATCTCAGACCCCGCGCAGGCCTTCCTCGGGAGCGTGCCCTCCGGGCCCGTACCTGCTACTATCTGTTTGATTTCAGCTGCTCGTCCCATTGAGAGGCGCACGGAAGAAAGGCAGAGTAGGAAACCGTGAGAATTGTCTTTTCAGAAAGAAAAAAAATCGAAAGAATCAAACAGATTTAGGTAACAGAAGTTAGGCACTGGCATCCGTGAGCACAGGGAGACAAACCAGACAATAAACACCACAGGAAGCCCCCGGGGCAGCCCCCGGACCCCAGAAAACCTCCAGGGCCTCCTGACTCAGGCCCCTGACTGCCCCGGGGGCTCAGCAGGCAGCCCCAAGCCCAGTGCTCTGGGCAGGCTGTCCCCCGAAGGACCCTCTGGGGGGCCACTGGGGGGCGTGTCACACACGACAGCCCCAGGGCTGTGCCACTGAGATCCACACGCCCAGACCCGGGGGAGGCTCAGGGAGAAACGCCCTTGCATGGCTCACGGGGCCCCTCTGCAGACTCCGTGTCCCGGGAAGTGGGTGGGGGTGGGGAGGGGCTCTAACCAGGGAGCAGGTGTGCAGAGGTCCCTTGGTCACCAGTGAAACGAGGACAGGAGACCACCAGCCAGGAAGGCTGCCACCGGCCACACTACAGAGGTAGCACCCAATGGGGCGAGGCCACGAGGAGAGGGTTGGCCCCAAAACAGACGCGGGCGTCCGACGGAGGATTAGCCGCTGGGGATAAAAGCGCGCGACAAGCTTTTGTTTCCAGACGGTGCTGGGTGTTCGCTACAGATGGGCACAAACGTCCCCCTAAGCGACAGGTGACACACAGGGGCCAAGGGGAGGCAGGTGGCACCTGTCCTCCCACCTGGGCCGCCGGGAGGGCAGCTCCTAGCTCTAAGCAGCGCCGGGGGGGCACAGACACCCCCAGCCGGGGAGCTGACCAGCTCGCGTGCTGGCAACAGTGGCACGGCCGCCCTGAGAGTGCCACACAGGCGAACGGAAAATCCTGTGACAGGACAACAGAGGCTTTTTTAAGGGAAGAAAGAGAGACACAGACTAGCTGGGGTGGGGGTACCCAGAGGAAGCTGCTGGGGGGGGTTACTTCGGGTCTTTCCTCACGAGGAAGCCAGCAAGTACAGAGCCAGGGGGGGGGGGCTGGAACAGCCCTGCAGGGAGGACAGGCACCTGCACCCCACCCCCGCCCCCAGTCATCGCTGTGTGTCTGGAAGGAAGGGGCAGAGGGCTCCCGGCCCCGGGGAGGATGCAGCAAGAAAGCGAAGGCCTTACCCTCCAGCTTGCTGCCGGCGTGGCCTCCGGCCTGGCCCTCCACATCCCTCTGCTCCTGCGGCTCTACCTGCGGCCCCGCCTCAGGGGCCAGCTTCACCGGGAGGGCGGCCTTCCCACCTGCACACACAGAGAGGCGGGAGGTTTGCAGAGAGCTCAGGAGGAAGCGGTGGGTGCGGCAGGTGGGGGCAGAAGGCGGGAGAGGGACGCCAGGGGGAAAAGTCTTCTGAAAACTAGTCTCCGCGTCTCCCTCCCTCTGTCAGCAGTTCGTATCGGCCCTGATGACCGCCGGCCAAGTAATGAAAACACATTTAACGATCTCACGGGCTCATGGCACTGAGCCAGCGTTAAGCACCTTCGCCAATTAACACGCGAGAGCCGGCCCGGCCGCGCCGCACGGCCCTGAACGGCGCGGTACCTGTCAAGCGTTCCCCGCAAGGGCCCAGACGCACGGACAGCGCGCCAAATGACACTCAGCGGTCCGGCAAGCAACCGCGTGACAGATACCCCGGGAGCTGTCACATCACCAGACTCCGGGCTTCCCCAGCCGCTGCGGAAGGGGCCGCTGCTCTCACGCGTCCGTGTGCTGACCTGGGCAGCCGAGCGGGAGTGCGGGCAGGAGGAGGCCCGCCCGCCCGCCCGGCCTCTCCTGGGCCCCCCACCGGAGGATCCTCTTAGGGAGAGCAGTTTGCCAAGACAAGCGCAGCTGACACCCACCGAGCTCACTCTTGTCCGCCAGCTTGCCCGCGGCGCCTGCAGCCCGGCCCGGCAGCGGGACCCCGCCAGCTCTCTCCGCCGCACCTGCTGCTGGGGCGTCCTGCCCCTCAGGTGGCACTGCCTGGGGCGCTGGCTGCAGACCCCTGTCGCCTGGCCCCTGGTCCTCCTCCACGGGCTCGATGGCTGGCTGACCATTTCCTTCTGGAACCTTCCAGGGATCTTCAGGGAGACCCCCTGCTACCTCTAGGACCTGGTCCTGTCTGGGTCTCTCTCTTTCCGAATCGGACAGAGGCAGGGCCATCCGAGCCTTGCCCCCTGGGGCCTGCTCCTCCGCGTGCTTGGACGGACGCTCATTCTCTGCTGGCTCTTCCCGGTCTTCACCTTCGTCCACTACCACCTTGTCATGAGGGACGGGCGGCTCGTGGCGGTGAGCCTCGCCCATCGGTGCTGCCACACCTGCAGGGAGACAGACTGTCGTGGAGCAAGCAGGTTGGGGTGGCCCGGCTCTCCTTCCCAGGAGCGCGAGCTGAGTCCCAGTGCCCAACGGTGTGACGCAGGCTGGCAGGTGCCGCCTGCCACAGACCGGACTTTTGCCTGAGCACGGACGCTACCTGTAGAGACTTACAACAGGGCAGCTGCACGCCGGCTGGCGGGGGCGGGGCCCCCATCTGAGTCGCCCTTGAGTCACAGAAGGAGGGAGGCAGAAAGGACCAGAGCTCAGGCAGGCCCCTCCCCCGCCGCCCACCGCGCCGCCCACCTCGGCCCGGCCGGTCCAGCTGTGCCGCCTCCTGCTTCTCCTTGGCGCCTTCCCTCTGGGGCGCGTCCACCGGGCCCTTAATCTGGGCCTGCTCCATCTCCTCTTTCTCATCGGGCAGCTTCGGCTTATCTCGGCCGTCGGCGGCGGCGTCCACCGCTGGATTCGGGCCTGCGAGCAGAACGCCGCTCACCGCGCAGTTTCACACGGCCACGCCGCCCCTCCCTCCCCGCACAGGGGCTGGGCGGTTGTCCGTAGATTGTAATCACGTTTCCTAGTCGGATGGCAGAGCCTACGCAGTTACTTTTTTCCTGCTCAATCATTAGCAGCTGAGTAGCACAGAAAACTGTCATTTTTCATGTGCATCCATAACAAAACTATGTCAAAATGCAATTTACACCTAACCGGGTGCAGAAGAGCAGGCGCCGCGGAATACCGGCCGTCACCACCAGAGGGCAGCACGAACCCGCGGTTTGCGGCAGGACGGGCGGCAGCCTGGGGAGGGCATGTGTCCAGGGTCCCCCGTCCGCTGGGACAACCAGCCTGCCACACCTCAAACCCCCGCTCCAGGCCGGTATGGGGGGTGGCGCTGGGAGGTGCTCGGGGGAGGGAACGCCGCTGGGAACGCCGACGGGTGAAGCTGTGAGCCTCTTACTGCCAACAGCGAAGACGGCCACCGGCAGAGCCTGCAAACCGCGCCTCCCCTGCCCCCAAGTGCCACGCCTGTCCACACCTGTCCCCACACAGTCCTGTGCAGTGCTCACCCGCATGGCAACCGGGGGCCCACAGGACCGAAACAGAGCCTGGTAGGAAGCGGTCACCATTAAAAAATTGGCAAATGGGGCAAAAACTTAACAACCTGGGAAAAGAAACTTTAAAAATCCATCATTTTACGCTAGAGGTTGGAAGCACACTCTTGTTCCCCATCACAGGACATGAGCTGCCCAGAGAAGGGCTGACTACTGTCCTCCATGGGCAGCAGGGCTGCTGGCCGGAGGCGAGGGTCATGGTGTCCTGTTCGGACAGGGCCCTGCTGGTCCCAAAGGAGAGGAAATTATTATGCAGGTCAACTGGACTGGCAAGCCCGGGGCAGTGCCCTCACTCATGTGGGCGCCAGGAGGCAGCTGGGGGACAGTGCCCTCGCCAGACCAGTGCAGGGACGGGGCCCTGCCAGGTGGCGGGCTCACAGGCAGACTCTGGACTGACTCTACAGTTGAACCAAGGGGCTGATAACAGTAAGTGGGTGACCATCGCTCGAGCAGATGAAAACACCCTGGTCTCTGTCACACAATTCACCCCTTCCCAGAGGCCCTGTGCTCAAACAGGAGTCACTGTAAATCAAGGCGTCTATCTCGTGGATCACAAAGTTAAGAAAAAGTTTTGTTAGGGGCGCTTGGGTAGCTCCATCAGTTAAGTGTCTGCCTGTGGCTCGGGTCATGGTCCCAGGGTCCTGGGATCGAGCCCCAATCAGGCTCCCTGCTCAGCGGGGGGTCTGCTTTTCCCTCTGCTGCTGCTACCCCAGCTCCTGCTCTCTCTCTGATGAACAAAATCTTTTTTTTTTTTTTAAGATTCTATTTTTACTTATTTACTTGACAGACAAGAGATCACAAGTAGGCAGAGAGGCAGGCAGAGAGAGAGCGAGAAGCCGGCGCCCCGCCGAGCAGAGAGCCCAACGCGGGACTCGATCCCAGGACCCTGGGATCAGGACCCGAGCCAAAGGCAGACGCCCAACCCACTGAGCCACCCAGGCACCCCACAAAATCTTTTAAAAAGAAAGAAAAGGGGCCAGAAGAGAAAGGAAAAACACAAGAAAACAAGCTGCTAAGCCATCACAAGACCAAGTCACCTACATGTGGCCCTGTCTCAGCAGGGACCGAGGCAAGTCCCCCATGAAAGCAGGGGCAGCCTGATGGGCTGGGCTGAGGGGACCCCCCGTATGGGCGGCAGGACGGCGGGGACCTGAGGCAGCGAGGAGTCTCCCGCCAGGGCCCTCGGACAGAGCTGCGGGGGCATCCGGCTTCACAGCAAGGCCAAGGCACCTTGGGGCTCCCGCATCCCCAGCCGCTGGCACCCGGCCTCCAGCCTCCAGCATCCCGGTCCACAGCAACGACCAGCACACCCTGGATGGGAACTGGGCTCTCGGCCGCAGACAGTCGGTGATGCCTCCCAGCGTAGCGAACCGAACACAACCCCCAGAATGAGGGACTGAGGAGCGGACCATGCCCAGCAGGCAGCTAGGGCCTTGGACGGGCCCGGAGCAGATGGGCACCTCGGCGTCCCCAGCAGTCTGCGGCCACCTCGCTCACCTTCAGGGTCGTTGCCAGGTCCCAGCAACGACAGATGACCCAGGAAAGACCCAGGAAAGACCCAAGACGGTCCCGGGTCCGTGCCTCATTCTGCCAGGCGGTGGGAGACCCTGCCTGGGGCGGGTCTGGCTTTTTTTGGTGACAAGGGACCTACTCACCCGCCTGATGGAGTGAGAGGCTGGAAGTGCCCTGAGACAGGCCAATGGACAGTTCCCCACCAGGCTCTCCTTCCCAGGGCCCAGCGTGGGGATCAAGTCCTCAATTCCAGCTCAGCAGGACAGACCCTGTGCTCTGGGCTGTCTTTGGAATCGGGGATGTGGTGGCAGCGGGGGTTAGGGGGTCACAACCTCTACACCAAGGACGTCTGCACTCGAGCACCTGGGCTAGAGGTGCCTGCTGTGGGCGGCCGGCATCGAGCAGCCTCTCTCCGGGGACCCAGGGCTCAGTTAAGTCAGCAAGCACCAAAACAAAGGGACTGCTCCTATCACACCTGAGCCCACAGATGCGTCCGTGTCACCCAGAGAAACCCCGATTCAGGAGACACGTGGGACCCCAGGGCCATGCACTTGTAAGGCAAGAGCCGAGAGCCAGGCCCGGCACTTAAGTGACTTTCCTGACCCTCAAGGTGGCCATGAGAGTGGGTCGGGGAGTGCTGACTCCTGAAGCCCGCTCTGCTGGGCGTGGCTGGCACGGGCAGGCTTGACCGCTGCATCCTCGCATCTTTCCAAGCACACAGGAGTCACCATGGCTCCCCAGACCCGAGCGTCCCAGCCAAGGGGCCACGGTGGCCTGAGCCTCACTCTTCACAGTCCCCTGGAGCCGGCAGGGCTCCCCACGGGCAGAGGAGGCGAGCCGCTCCCTGAGGGCCTCCGAGGGCAGGTCAGGGTCACTCAGGGCTGCACATGGGAGACAGTGGCCTCCCTGCCCCAGACGGCAGTGTGGCTGAGCTGGCAAAGTCACCTGGGAGGGCCCGAGTAACACGCAGTGGGGTCAGGTGCCACAGCACAGAGGCCAATGAAAGCCGCTGTCAGCAGAGACCGGGAGGGCTGTGGTGGGACCGTCTGCCCCAGCTGAGGATAGCAGAGCACGCGGGGCCCCTGTCCCTCACACACGGCCTGGCATCTGTTGCAGAGTGCACATCCCGCCCGCGTGCAGAAATGAGTCCTCGGGAGAGCGAGTGCAGGGCAGGGACCCTGCAGTGAACTCTCACACAGGACTGTGGTCACCCTCTGCCACCGGCACCTACAGTCACAGCCAAGCTGCTGCCCCCAGCCTTTAGCCTGCGCCGGCCTGAGCAGAGCCCCCATCCTGGTCTTCTGGCGTTTCTCGCCACAAAGCAGAACCCGCACCCCTGTGGGGTGGCCAAGGGGGAGCGCGCACACCAGGGGTGCTCTGATACCATGACACAGGCTGAGGACGTGGGGTGGGGATGCTGCGGGGAAAGGAGCAGAGGGGACGGGGCCGCATTCGGAGGAGGGAGCCAAGCATGCTCTAGAACCCGACCTGGCCACCAGGTCCTGTGGGGCGCTCTCAGACAGGAGAGAAATGGTCTAATTAGCCTTTTTAACAGAGAACTGCCTCACAGAGCCCAGCAACCTCTTTCCTCCACGCTTGCCTCTGCTCACCACCCCAGCAAGCACGTGTCCCAGGCTCCGCTCTCCAAGAGTGCCAGGCCACGGGTCCCAGTCCCACGTGTCCCCAGCAGGGCAGGATTGCCACCGTCTGCCCCGGAGCCGGCTCGGGGCTCGAAGGAAACCTGCACCGTCCTGGCCTCTGCACCACCAGAGAGACCAGTAAAACCTCACTGCAGGCCGACAGGCCAAAGCCTGACAGGCGCGCACACGGCGCAGGCCCCAGCAGCCCCGGCTCCGCTTCAACGAGGTGACCCGTCAATTACGGGGGACGCCAGGCTGAGAAAAATGGAGAACGTGCTAAAAACAAACGGCGTGTGGCTCTGGGGGCGCGTGTTTTGTTATGGGCTCGCGGAAGCAATGGAAACCAGATGTGGCTGCGGCGGGCTCCAGGTGAGCTCGCGGCCCGGCTCTGCGACAGGCTGCGGCTGCTAGCATGGGCCGCGGACCGCGGGTGCGTAGTGCCGGGGGGACGGGCAGCCCGGAGCCAACCAATGCCAGGAACTCCCCGGCAGAGCCGGGAGCAGCGGCACCAAGTCCACCTTGGCCGCAGCCATCCATGAAGCACATAAGGCCAAGACGCCCGGCGGTGAGGGACCTAGCAGGGGCCGGTGCATGCCACCCGTGTCCCTCTCCAAGGGGACTTCCTCCATCCTAACTGCCAAATCCATGCAACTTGGCGTGGGACACTCAGGTGGCTTCTGACCACTCTGATCTGTTCCTCTGGGGAACCCCGCCATTCCCCGGGGCCCTCTCCGCAGGGACACCAAAAGGGGAATCTTTCTGCCAGGCCGTCCCCCCAAGAAGACAAAAGAGAGCACAGCCTGCTCCTCCGAGCCCCAGGAGAGACTGTGCCCTCCAGGGGAGGCTGTGGGGGGGGGCATGGACACCAGCTAGGGGCTTTCTAAGCCCGGGGACAGAGACAGCAACAAATCTAAGGGCCACGTGCCTTCCGCTGCTGGCAGGCCTGGGCGCCGAGGACGTAGAGCAAGTTCAACTCTTGCCAGGCTTTTGGGACCTTTTGTCGATCATGGTAGGCGGGGAGACCGGGCTCCTACTAGGGCAGGCACTCCTTAGCCATCACCATCAAAAGACACCCAAAACCCACGGGCAAACAGCAATGCTCCCCCCGAGGGGCGTCTCCCAGAAGGGCAGGCCGGGCGGCAGCTGGGCAGAGCACAATCCGCGGTGGGGCCTATTTGCGGGGAAGGGGATCAGACGCGCACGGACACACCATGAGTGTGAATGCCTACAACCCAACCGTCCTCAGAGCAGAAGCCCCCAGAATGAAGCACACCCCTCCCCCCAGTACCCAAGCCTGATGCTACTCAGAGCTGCTGGGGGGTGCAGGGTGAGGAAGCCCTCCCAGCTCTGCCTGGGACGGCCAGAGACTCCAGGAAAACTCTCCTCTCCCAACCGACTAAGGACACGATGGAGCCCCTTCTGCAGCCCAGAAAGCCACCCCGCACCCCGACGAGCACGGCCACGGGCGGGTCGTGCAGCCATATGGCAGCAGGCCTTCCGAGCTAGCCTGCAGGTGTAGAAGGCCGCGTGGGCCACCCCTCCCCACGGGCCGGTGGAACAACAGCAAGTGGGGGGACATCAAACAAAGCCATGGGGCGTCGCTGACCTTGTCCAAGCAAAACCTGGCTTGAACCCTCATCCCCAAACCAGAGCAAGCAAACCTGACAACACGCACACACCTGCTTACCTGTCAGCGCGCCGAGCGGTGGGCTCTGAGCTCTCCATCCTGCTGTCCGCACAGGCAGGCGGCCGTTCCCGGCCCTACTCGACCAGTCAAACAGGACCAGGGTGGGCGAGACAGCCGGGAAGTACCGCTCGCGCGCTGTGACCCTGAGGCGGCGCTGCGGGGGCGCCCGGGAAAGCTGCGGGGCTGGGGTGTGTGCATACCTGGACGTTGCGTACCTGGGAGCCGAGCCGCCTCTGCCTTTACGATGCCCTCGGCCTCTTCCAGCCGGCCGGCCGGGGCGTCCTCGGCCAAGTCCACGGGGGCGTCCTCGCTCACGGACAGGGTAGTGTGTGTGCCGACCACCAGGACGCCCAGGCCAACCCAGAACACCAGCTGGACAAGACAAAGACCCAAGGGTCAAAGGGGTCGGGCGGTCCCTGCAGCCCTGCCCCGAGCAGGGGAGGAAGGGGCAGGAGGGCACAGCACACAGCGTGAGGCTGCCTGACCCCCGTGCTGGCCACGAGGAGACGGGGTCCCTCACTCGCCAACGTGACCGAATCATCAGCCTAACCTGCCAGAGCCAGGCCGGCCCCGGAGGAAGGGGCAGGCTCTCTGCAGAGAGCGGACCCCCGCGCCCACTGGCCAGGCCTCCTGGAGAGCAGGGGCTGGACCTGCCTGCACCTGTGGCTGCCGAGGCAGGGCTTCCTGATGGCCCCGCCCAGAAGAGGAAGACTCTCAGGGCAGCGCCCTCCCCTAAGGGGGCACTTCGGCCGCCCGCGTCTCACCCGACAGCTGTGCAGTGGGCCCAGGGTGCAGTCGGTGCTCCCATGTCGTCCGCGCAGGCCACGCCTGGAGCCTCTGGCACAGACGAGGAGGCGGCTCCCCACCCCCCTTGAGCAGTGGGTACCCAGCGGGGCTGCCCAGTGAGTCGTGCTGCCCAGGCCGCTGCCTGCCGAGGGTCCTCGCCCCTGAGCCCATCCCTCCCATGAGGGAGCCGGGCAGGTCACCAACGCAGCCCTCAGAGATCTGGGAGGACGAAGCCTGCCCTGTGTGACGCCGTCCCCTCCCGCAGTGTCTCCATGAAGACACGCACAAGCTGGCCCCACGGGCGCGGTTATCTCTGCGGCTATTTCTGCCCCGCGCCCGGCCTGCCAGGCTGTCCCCAGGGAGCAGGGACACCTGGTCCTGTGGAGTCTGCAGGACATCCCCCAGCCAGGCCACCTGCCCCAAGAGCCAGGGAGACCCTGCCGCTCGCCCCATGCAGTCTCAGAGCCAGGATTCAAACCTTTTTCCCCAAGTCATGCTGACTTTAAAATGGACCAGTTAAAAAAGACCAGTGAGCCATCCCTGGGGCAAACCAGCCGGAGAAGGGGCGCTCCTCAGAGGAACAGCTTCCACTCACAAAGGCGGGCGAGGCCGGGGAACAAAGCCTCCAGGACACGTCCATTTCTGCGCAGCCGCTCTGCAAACACTGAGCTGCCCCGGTGCTCACAGAGGCCAAGGACAGGCCGTTCTCCCGAGGCCGGCCACACGTCAGGGAGGCCCTGGGGTGCCCCTCCAGCCTGCCACGGCTGGTGCAACAGGGCTACCCAAGGTTCGCAGCGAGAGCTGGGAAGCCACGGCGGCATCTGCAGACTCCACACCACGCAGCATGGGGTCGAGAGTCCTGACTGTGACCATGTCCCTCCCCCCCAGTGTTTTCCTACAAGCTTGAGCACGCTCAGCGTTAGCACAGGACATCTTCCCCAGAAGGGAAGATTCGTGGGGCAGTGATGGTGTCCAGAAGTGACCGAGGTCGTCTTAAAAGTTAAAAGAAAAGGACGCTTCAAATCCCCTGCATTTCATACTTCCCAACCGATAGCAGAAATGACCTTGCTGAGAAGCAACAACAAGAGAAGTTCTTCTCCTAACTCGGAGCCCACGGCACCAACAGGACAATGACCAGCAGTGGGTAATAGCCCCCAGCGTGAGCCACTCTGCGGCTCCAGCAGCCGCTCGGGCAGGAGACCACTCTAGAGCAGCCCGAGGCCGGCACCCACCTGGGGCCACCCCGACAGGACGGGGACACAAAGCAGGAGGCGTCCTGCCCAGCCGGTCACTACACTATTTTCCTACCACATTGCTGAGCAGCCCCATGGGAGACTGCAATGGCAACATTTCACTCAGGACTCGGAATTTTTTCTTTTAACCCTGGGCTTCCTGGGCTAAAAGCAAAAACATCACAGATATCGCAGAATAAAAAAACATTAACTCCTTCAATACTGGAAGACAGAGAGCTTCCTGAAAAAGACCAAGAGCACGTTAACATAAGGCTGATTTAGAAAGAACGGCCTGCATGGCGCCCGGAAATTCCAGAAAAGAAACCAGCTCTACTAGGTCCCCCACACACCTGCCCGTGCCACCTGCCGGGACCTCCCATGCCCCCTCTTGTGGTGTGTGTCCTCCATCTCCAACCCCGCTCCCACACCCGGCGGCAGCCCCCATGCCCCCTTTGCTGAGACCCCACTCGTCTCCCAATACACCGGCTCACCAGGCCGCTCTGGGCTCTGCGGGGCACCCACCAGCTGACCACGGGCCAGAGCGTGGCAGCCTGCAGGCCAGGCAGAGCCTCGGGAACCGGTCACTCACCCCGGCTCACCACCCTCATCGCTTCTCTGAAGAAACACCACGGGCCCATGAAATCCCCAGGCAGGGAAGCCAAAGCCACCCCGGCTGGAGGGCAGCCGTGACATTAATGCCACGCAGACTACCAACTGGGACACAGCGGGCTACAGTCCACGGGGCAATGGCTCATGCAGCGGCTGGGCTGCCATCTCCCGGCAAGCATGGGGTGGAAGCAAGTCAGCCAGAGCCAGGCCAGGGGAGAGGGCACAGGGGCCGTCCAGTCCCCAGGGGCAGCTGTAACAGCTACATGCTGACCACAGGCACAGACCTGAGTTCTATGAGGCCCCAGGATCTCCTGACCGGCGAGAGCTCCCAGGGCCCCCGCTCCGCCACTGAGGTGTGGGAGGCTGGCTGCGGAATGTGTGCCGAAAGGAATGATCGCGGGTTCTCTGAAGTCCTGAATCAGGGATGCTGCCCCTGGAGAAGGGGCCAAGGTCTGTGCCATCTGGGCTGGCCACGGATAGACGATCGGGAGCTCCCCTGGAGCCTGCCTAGGGTGCACGGGTGCCATGGCCTCAGGACGGGGGCAGGGGGTCAGCTGGGCCTGGAGCTCAACCTCACATCCGGCACCCCAAGCACAGCCCCTTCTGGGTCTAGCCCCGCATGAGTCCAACAGGACGAGGGCGGCAAGCGTGTCCGGTGTGCCAGCCTTGACTCCACAGTCCCCCAGCAGGGCCACTAAGAGGAGAAACAGCACACTCTGAGGGCTTAGCCCAGGCTTGGCAAAACCCGGGGCTTGGCCTGGAGACCACAAGTACCATGGTGTCCCAGAGAACCCCTCAAGCCATGACCTGCATGTAGCCTCCAGATCTGCTGAGGTTCCCAACTCAAAAACAGAAAAGCACCCACGGGGCGAGGAAGCGCTCACACTCACTTCTTACACGGGAGCCTGTCTGAACACCACACGGGTTCAACTGCCGCACCTCTTGATGAAACACACCTGGAGACGGGGGCTCTGGCCGCCGTGCAACCACATGCCCCGATTCGGGTCTCCGGGTCAGGGTGCACCCCACCCCCAGCCCCCAGATCCCAGCTGGAAGGCCTTGGGTGCCAGGCTCTGGTGGAGGTTGGATGGCGACTGGTGTGCGGCTCGCTGTCTCCAAGTCTCGGTCTCGTGTGTTCACCTACAGCCTTCCGAGGGCACAGCACCGGCCTGTGACCTGGGCAGCCCCCGCTCTCTCCTTGGGGCCCCGCCGGCAGCTCCTGCTCCCCCTGCTGGCTGCCAGGCTGTGGCATGTCAATTCCCAACACCTCCATCCAGGTCCAGACTGGAGAGACCATCCAATTTCTCAGATTCTCAAGGTAAAGAATGAACTCATGATGGCAGAGAAAGTTCCTTTTTGATGCACTAAGGGCACACTGTGTGTCACAGGCTCACTCCACCTACAAGGACGCTTCTTAGCACATTCCTCCTTTTGAGACCTTCTGCTGCCCAGTCCTGACATGTCCCTCACCCACGCACCCTGTCCAGCTCTTCTCTAGGCCTGTGTCCAGTGAGCCTTCAGGCGAGCCGGGGGGAGTGGACCCTGGGCCTGGCACTGGGTCCACATTTTCCACGGGAGCAGCAGCCAGAGCTCTCGGGACAGAAGGGAGAAAGGAGCCAAGCAGGTGCCCTCCAGACCCGAGCTCTGTGTGCACCAAACTCTAGCCACATTGCCCAGTTTGTCCCTTGGAAGATTCATTTCCCTCAAAACACTAAAGCTACCTACGTGCAAATAAAACACAGCAGCACATACGAACGGAATGCCACAGTCAGACGGTCCATCCCAAAACTGATGTGTGATACACAAGTCATCCGAGCACTGAGTCGGAGGGACAAACTTTACCATCGTCACAAACGGTTAACGCGATTCAATGTGTTTTTGGATTTCAAAACCAGAGCAAAGGAGGCACAGATGGACGCTTGTGTTAACACAGTTCCACGGATGCTCACGTACGCCGTGTGGAGGCGTGTGGGCGTGCATGTTCGTTCCCATACATGCAGCCAAGGCCACACCAGGCTCAACACCAGGGGCTCTTGCCACGGAGTCAGGAGCTGGCCCTGTGGCCAGATGCGCAGGACACACAGATCACGAAAGAGAAGCCCTAACAACTGGGAAGGAGGAGGTGGGATAGTCCAGAGGTGCTGTCAGACTGCAAGAAGGTGGGAGGGCAAAGAGCAAATCCGTGAAACGGGCAGGGGAGAAGCTGACAGAAGAGGAGCCTCGGAGATCTCCGAGGTGGCGGCGCGGCCGTCTCGCGGTCTGGGTGGTGCGGGCCGGGCCGGACCCCACCCCTGCAACCGCACGGAAGACTGCAAGGTACGCACTGCAGATTTGCCAGAGTGCAGAGGTAATGACACTGTCCAAATTAATCTACAGCTTCGAAGAATTCTGATGAGAACAAAGACACAAAAAGCTGGACTTCGTTCTACCAAGAGTCAGATCGGCTAACTCCAATGCGCCTCTGGAAGATGAACATGCAACATATCCAGAAATGCCATAAGTAAAAGTGAGGAAGAGGGATCAGAATTCAAATGTTTCTCAAGCCAGGCACCCAGCTGGCTCAGTCAGTAAATGTGCAATTCCTGATTGCAGGGTCGCGGGTTCTAGCCCTACCCTGGATGTGGGGATTACTAAAAATAAATCAATAAAATTAAAAAAAAAAAAAGTTGGATCCAAATTTTAAAAAAGTTTCCAGAGCTATGCATCACAGAGCGGGGGGCGCTACCATGGCCACAGTGGCAAGCAGCACAGACGGCGGCACATTCGAACACAAGTCCCAAACCAGGCCCAAGTCCACACGAGGTCTAGTACGAGAGCAGTAACACCACCCAGCAGTGACCCAGCCCCAGGGGCTGCCATCTACGGAGACTGCTTGGGTTCTTACCCTGAAATAAAACACAGACGATCAAGGATTTACATGAAAAACAATGAAGTCATGAAAGCCCTGGAACTGAAGAAAGAATTTTTAAAAATCATATTGAAGAGGAAGGGCCTTTCTAACAATGACTTTTTCCCCATGAAAGAGTCCGAGGGACTAAAACTCTGGGACTTGACAAACAGAAAAACCTTTGCAATCTGAAGGCAGCGGCTGGTTAGTTTCCTCATGCCCTCAGGAGTTTCCCAAACTCACTAAAATCACCCAACTGGCAGACAACCTTGGCCACCCAGACCGCCGGTGAGACCCCGGACCATGGAGGTAAGCACAGAGGCCCCATGAGGTCGGGCTCCTCCTGACCTGCAGTGCTGAGCACTGGGCAGGAGAGCAGCAGCCTGGAGCTTGCGATGCTCAGGCAGTAGTCGGGGTTAGAGGGGAAGGGGAGGGGGCTCTTGAGCAGCCAGAACTCGGGCAGCCACCATCCTCATAGAAGGGCACCCACATTCTGCATGCAATTCTCCCTAAGGTACATGCCAACTACGCAGAGAGGTGCCCAGAGCAGCTGCCCGAGACAACAGAAGCTAAGCAGAGAATTTACCAATGTGAGGGCAAGGGCGTTTAGCTGAGACCCTGGAAGGGCTGTGCCCTAGGAGTGAGGCAAACCAGGAACAGCCTCCCCTTAACTGAACACAGGCCTTCTGCCCTCCTCTGTCTGCTGGAAGACAGCAACATCTAGAACCTCTACCATTTCTCAAACACAATGGCCACCAACTACCAAGCATGCCAGAAGACAGGACCAAGTGACAGAAAACCAAGAGGCTGCAAAGGCTCGATAAGAAGAAATGTTGGCAATTTTAAAACAATAATAACATCTCGCAATGTTTAAAACATACATAAAATTAAAATACACAGAAACAATGGCACCACAGGCCAGAGAAGGGTAAATGGAGGCAAAACATCACGGATGCTTGGCTTGTCTGTGAATTGGTAAAACCAACTCATAGTCAACTCTGATAAACCGAGGACCCATACTAAACTGCTCTGTACGACCATTAGAACAGAAATGTGCACCTCCAGCTAAAAGACAAATAAAACCTGAATACTTAAAATGTGTGATTTATCCAAGTCAGCAAGAAAGAAACAAACAAAAAAGAACAGATGGGACAAGTAAAAACAGAGTAAGATGGAAGCTTTAATTCCCCCCCAAATCAGTAATTACATTCACTATAAAGAGTCTTAAATACCCCTATTAACAAATTGGATAAAAACAAAAGGAAACAAAAGCCAACTGTATGCCATTATCTGAGATACACCGTAAGTATAAAGGCATAGAAGATCAGAAAAGACAAAAAACTTGTCCGTGTAAATATAAATCCAAAACAAAGCTGGGTTAGTCACACTGTATCAGACAAGACCATTTTAAGGACAGAAGCATTTCAAAGATAAACAGAGACATTTCACAAGAAAAAGGGTCAGTTTAACAAGATGTAAGTGTCCTGAAACTGTATGCTCCTAATAACACAGCTTCAAGATAAAAAGCAAAGACTGATACAGCTTAAAGGAGCAATAAACAAATCCACGATTACAGTGAACTCGTTCTATCTTCCCCATAACTGATAAAGAAGATTAAAGAAACAGCAAGAACATGTGAAATCGGACCGTTGCAGCGAGTACAGCTGACCTAACCACACAGCTGCCCGCAGCCCACGGCAGCCATCGGCACAAGCCATACGCTGGGCTGCAAGCAAGTCTCCAACATGTCACAGGAGGAAATTCACATTCTTCAGTGTGTGTTCTCCAAGCACAATGGGGTCGCGCTAGAGATCAGTACAAGAGATTATGAGGAAATCCCCCAGAGTCTGAACATCTGAAGAAGCCGCGGGCGAAAGAAGACATAAGGAAAACTGGGAAATGCTGTGATATGAAGGGTCGGGTCAGTCCTCCGGTCCGTGGTCTGGCACAAACCCATCAAAGTCCAACACGGCTGTGCAGGAGGAGGCCTGCAAGCGGACTCAGCTGCAGATGCTAAGGGCCAGTGACGGAAAGACCCTGGGAAGAAGAATGAAGGTCAAGGGCACCTGCCGCCCACTGTGAAGACTGTAAAGCCACAGCACTCGGAGCAGGGCCATGAGGACGAGGACAGACTGACAGACCAGCAACAGAGGTGTCCCCAGCACTCCCCCAGGGAAACAGGGGACTGATGACAGCCGTGACACCACACTGTTGGGGAAAGGGGGGGTGCGATCAGCTAAGGGCCTTCACCCCACCTCCCCACCCGACGGAGCTTGCACCCGAATGAGGACAAGAAAACAAATAGCTTCTAGAACATGACCTACAAGGCTATCTGCAGGGCCTTGTGACAGGCGGCACATAAAAGGCACCCAGCCAGAGAGAAAGGGGACAAACGGAACTACGCTAGCATGAAGAACACCGAGGCACCTGGCGGCATAGTCAGCACAGATGCCTGGTTGGGCGTCCGACTCTTGATTTCGGCTCAGGCCATGATCTGATGGTGGTGAGATCAAGCCCCAGGTCGGGCTCCAAGCTCAGCACGGAGTCTGCTTGAGATTCTCCCTCCCTCCCCCTCTGCCCCTCACCCCTGCACACACTTGAATGTGTGCGCTCTCTAAAATAAATCAATCTTAAAAAAATAAAATAGGGGCGCCTGGGTGGCTCAGTGGGTTAAGCCTCTGCCTTCAGCTCAGGTCGTGATCTCAGGGTCCTGGGATCGAGTCCGCGTGGGGCTCTCTGCTCAGGCGGAAGCCTGCTTCCCCCTCTCTCTCTGCCTGCTTGTGATCTCTCTGTCTCTGTCAAATCAATAAATAAAATCTTTTTTTTTTAATTAAATAAGTAAAAATAAAATAAAATAAGAAAACAAAACGAAGAACACGTGTTGGTGAAAAGGTATCAGAGAGCACGAAGAGGCAGCCAAGAGAGAACGCTTGCCATGTGTATTTCTGAAAAAAGATTTAGAAGCTTGAAAAACGTCCACAAATCATTCAGAAAAAGACCATCCGGCTAACAAACAGGGCAGGACGTGCCAGACACTCACACGGCTGATGAGCCCATGACGAAATGCTCAACGTAGTCGGTCATCTGAGAATTGCAAATTAAGACCCAGATGGAGCCCCTGCTCACCCCTCAGAAGGGCCAGCCCGTGCGAGGGGGGCAGCAGGGCTAGCGCGGCTGGAACTCCAACGCGAGGCCAGAGGCCCACCTGGGAAGAGCTTGGAAAAATCTCCTGAAACTGGACAGACCCCTAAGCCCAGGATCCAGTACACCCACCTCAGGGAGTGACCCACACCCGGACGCACGTCCCCGACGAGCGGCACGGAGAGCCCCACTGTGTGCTCCAGGGGGCCCGCGCAGAGCCCCGCAGCAGGGAGAACGGGCAGGCTGCGGCCCTCGCGGCTGACCTCAGACATGACACCGAGTGAGGAAGCAGACACACAGCACGTACTGAGACTCTGTCCACGTCCACTCCAAGGACAAGCAGAATTATTCCCAAACGTTAGAAGACAGAAGAGCGGTAACCTTTGGCGGGGAAAGACCATGAGACACCCCGGGGAAGCTTTGGGTGCTGGAATGTTCTAAACCTTTCCCGGACGGTGGCTCCATGGCTGGGCTCACTTGGCAAACAGTCCTCACGCTGTATAGGGAATCAGGTGCTTTGCTGCATGCTCGCTCTGCGGCACTCCTGAAACCATCACCGGGACATCCCAAAAAGAAAAAGCTCCGTAAGCCCGTAGAAGGTGAGCAAATCGCGTGGATGGCTCCCAGGAAGAGAAATGCAGTAGCTCGTAAACACACGAGAAGACACCTGACTCCCCTGCAGACCACTGACGGGAAAAGAGGCCTGGGCTCGGCCACGCAGCAACGGCACTGACCTCTGTACGGGCTCTGGGTAAAAGCCTCCCGCGCCCACGTGCTCCTTCTCTCGGACACGGGGATTCCTTTTCCAGAAATCTTCCCACAGACATGTTCTCAAATGCATCCCAACACTCACGTACGTGGAGAAACAGCATGGTTTTCTCTATGACACCAGAGCATGGCAGAGGTGACCCCATAGACAGTCCCCTAGTGAGACAGTGGGAGATAGGAACGGGGAGGGGCCTGGAGTGTGCGACACACACGCACGGATAATCCTGTCACCATACACACACATGCTTGGGGAAAAGCAGTTCAGTCTTCAATGCTCAGGTGAAGTAAGAAGGTCTCACGCACACACGCGCGCGCACCCTGGGCCCATGGGAACCCCCACACGTACAGAGGTAGCGGCCTGGCCTGGCCCCGCATCTCCCAGACCTTCCAAACCAAAGGCCTCCTATACTAAGAAGCCTGTCTGAGAACATGACCCACACCAGTCCCGGGTGGGGCTGAGCAGCGCTCACCTGGGAGGAAAGGGTGTTCTTGTGGATTTTCTTATAGATCAGAGCCGGGCAGACGAAGCAGATGAGACTTCCCATCATCGCACCCGTGAGGCCCAGGATCGTCTCCACTGGGAACGAGAAAGAGAGGAGGGGGTGAGCGCCAGGGGTTCCAGAAAGGCACCGAGCGCCGGCTTTTGGCCAGCACAGGCAGGCAAGCCAGCCCTGCCTCCGGGCCTGGAGACGCGTGCCTCTGCAAGTCCAGCCTGTGTGCCCACAAGCACGTGAGGGGCATCCTGGCTGCTACCGCAGGCATCGGGGAGCGATCCGCAGCCCCGTGAGAACCAGAGGCCCCATCCTCCCAGCCAGGAGTCCCAGGCAAGCTCCCTACTCCCTGCACCTCAGTTCCTGGCCCGTGAAATGGGGGCAACGTGGCTCCCTCCCTTGCTTGCGTGAACCTCGGTGAGCCACAGGGAGCAGGTGTCCTCCCGCGGGGCCCAGCACAGGGCGAGGCCTATAGCACTGGCTCCTCTCAGAGCCTCTGGGCACCCAGCAGGGGCTTCTCGGATAGCTCCTCTTAAATTGCCAACCTCCCCACCATGTGTGACAGCGCAAATTTCGCTCAGGCCCTTCCCTGTCCCTTGGTGATGTGTCATCAAAACCAGGAATCAACCAACAGCATCCCCACCAATTCCACCGACCAGGCTGGTGTTCTCGCGTGTCAGTCCCACCTGGGGTCACTGGCTCAGGTTTCCACACGCCCACGGCTCCCTGAGGCTACTACAGTGGCCCACGCCTTTCCCAGGGGGCCAAACGAAAGATTCACAGATGGCCTCTACATGTGTTTTAGGGGACTAGAGAGGGTGGTGTGAGAGTCTGGGTATCAGCTGAACACAGAGACTCCAGGCAGCGTCAGCCCTGGGGTCCCTCCATGTCACAGCAAGCATGGAGGACAGGGGAGAGGACAGAGCGGGCAGGAAACCAGTCCCCGGGACAGTCCTCCCACTTACCGTTGGGGATCATGATTCCACCCACCATGGTTCCAAACACGACTGAGAAGGTGAGTGCTTTGAACCGCAGGGGCGGCATGTAGCCTCCAGCAGCAAAGGTCCCATCTTTTTGCTGGGTGAGAGGAAACAAAAACAGAAAGGTTTTGAAATGACTGACTGCCTCCCCGCCCTCTAGCAAGGATGCCCGTAAAGGGCTCTGCCAGTGGCCCAGGTAGGTGTGCGTGGGAGGCCAGCAGGTGACTCCAGACACGGTATGACTTGGCTGAGCGGTGTTCCCGCGAGACTGTGACCCAACCGGTAACCCACCCCAGCAAAGCTCCGGGCCGGGAAGGCCCAGGCTGCTCCTCAAGTCAGGCATGGGATGGAACAGATCGGAGAGTTTACAACTTTGTTCCGAAATGTTACCAGCAGGACCTTCCATTTTCCTTGGAGCAGCGCACAAGCCAGATTAAAAAACGTGACGACCAGAAGCCAGAGGGAGCTCCACAGAGCCAGGCTGATGGTTTCCGGGTAGAGCAGAACCCCCAGGGACACACACTCCCGTGCGCGCCCCCATTTCCAGGTGCTTCGGAGAAGAAGGAAAGAGGATAGGACGTGGCGTAACCAAACCCAAAGTTACTCCTCCTCCAAGGCCCATTCACCAGAACCATCTTCTGGTCAGGTAGCTGGAGTGAAGCTTCTAGAGCAGTACTGGGCACACAGGAAGGGCTGACCACGGTTCCTATTCCTGGGCCGGGCAACACCACTCCAGGGGAGCCTCAGAACCTTCCGTAACTAGAATTTCAAATCACCCCCATTTCCACAATAGACCTTCAATGCAGGTGGCCTTCTTAGGATGGACTGGGGGGCGCTGCAGCCCAAATTTCTGATCGACCTTAGGACGACAGCTTGCACTGGGTCCGGCGAGGAGGGGCATTGGGGCTACAACCCTTGACCCAAGAACTCCTGCCTAGAAGCCTACCCGATACTCCAAGAGGAGAGGGAGAAGGGGAAGCGGTACGTGTGGTCGGGAGAGAGCACCCGTGGGAGGTCAAGCATGAAGGACCCACCGCAGCAGAGCCTCCCACAAAAGCTGGAAGAGCAAAAGTGCGGCGGCGTCACGGGTTTCCATGGAGACACCCAGTGAAGGCAGGAGACTCAGCGAAAGGACTCTACAGAGACGCGCACAAACGCCACGTCAGCTGTGGGAGGACGGAGGGATGGAGGTGAATTTTCTTCCCTGATTTAACATCGCCTCTAATGCCACCGTGGACTGTTTCTTAAACGGTAAAAATTATATACAGAAACACAAATGCTGTTCACACACAGAGCACGTGTGCACATCAAAGGGGGAAAGCTGGAGGCCAGCAGCTCACAGTGCGGGGGTGGGGGGTGGCATGGGGGAGACAAGAGCTGTCCCCACCGCTGCCCCCGAGGGACCAGGTACTAAATCGTGCCACGCCTGGCGCCCAGGTACCTGCCCAGCTAACGGGGACGGGATGGGGAAGAACGGCCAGTCCTTCAGGGCTTGGCTCTGCCACGAGGGGCTGTCTCGATGCACAATTGGCGGGAAGCTGCCTTGAGCGCAGGACAATCCTGTGGACAACGAGCCCAGTTCTAGGTGCTCCAAAGGCCAAGGGGCCCACCTTCCCCAGTGTGGCTACTGGACGCACTGTCTCCTGGAGTTCTGGGACCCCCCCCCACCCACTCACTCCCCACCCCCCATCCTGTGGCCTAAGCAGTTCCACGTGTGTGGCCACCAGGAGTCCTGGCTGACCGCAGATCACACTCAAGGACCTCGACCCAGAGACACAGGACACCGCCATGGAGAAAAACTGCAGGCGGGTCCATGGGCTCCCAAAGCAGGCGCGGCTTCACCCCACGTCTTGGGGCACGAGTTACATACGGACCTTCTGTTTTTAATTTGGCAACAGCAAGAGAGACTCTTAGCTCCAACCCACACCTCTGAAAATTTCTCATTAAGGACTCCTTCACTCCTTCACGCGGAAGTGAAGAGAACTCAGCCTCTTGCGCCGTCTCTGATCCAAACTGTTAAAATGTCCAGTTACATAAACGTAAAAGCAAAGTACGCTGACCCCCGTGCCCAGATGTCAGTGCCTGCCTGCGAAGCCGGCTCTTCCGCACTCCCAGCCACCCCTCATCCCTCGGGGTTTCCGCTCCATCTGATTTGGGGGCAGCAGCCGGGGGACTGGGGAGTCAGGGCTCCACGCCTCCCGTGTGGACAGACCCCTGTGTGCTCTGGCACGGTCTCTTTTCTCCAAAGTTGGTTTTTATTTTTTTTTTTTTAATTTTTTTAAGACTTTATTTATTTATTTGACAGATAGAGATCACAGTAGGCAAAGAGGCAGGCAGAGAGACAGAGAGAGAGAGGAGGAAGCAGGCTCTCTGCTGAGCAGAGAGCCCGATGCAGGGCTCAATCCCAGAACCCTGAGATCATGACCTAGAGCTGAAGGCAGAGGCTTTAACCCGCTGAGCCACCCAGTGCCCCCCAAAGTTGGTTTTTAAAAAATCCCTAAGGGCGCCTGGGTAGCTCAGTGGGTTAAAGCCTCTGCCTTCGGCTTGGGTCATGGTCTCAGGGTCCTGGGATCGAGCCCCACATTGGGCTCTCTGCTCAGTGGGGAGCCTGCTTCCCCCTCTGCCTCTCTGCCTACTTGTGATCTCTCTATCAAATAAATACATTTAATTTCTTTAAAAATCCCTATTAGAAGATTTCACTTTGGGGTGCCCAGGTGGCTCAGTCGTTAAGCATCTGCCTTCAACTCAGGTCATGATACCAAGGTCTTGGGATCGAGCCCCGCATCGGGCTCCTTGCTCAGCGGGAAGCCTGCTTCTCCCTCTCTCACTCCCCCTGCTTGTGTTCCCTCTCTCGTTTTGTCTCTTGACAGATAAATAAATAAAATATTTTAAAAACATTTAAAAAATAAGAGATTTCACTTCAACCGAAACTTTTCCATTTTTAAGTAGAAAAAGCTCTCCCTGCCACAGTCCAGAGCTAGAGAACCGGCCAAGCCAACAGAGCGGACACACTGGAGGTCAGCAGGGCAGCATTTTGCTGGTGGACGGTCACCTAAAGGGCCACGAGAGCCTTACCTGCTGCTCGAAAAGCAGCGTGTTCAAGGCCTGCCGACACGGCAGGATCATCATGGGGAAGCCCACGGCCACGGACATCATGAAGCCCACTCGCATCATCTCCGTCACCAGGTTGGAGGGAAAGTGCATCAGAACGTTGCCTGCGGTGGCCTCGGTGAAGCTCACGTAGCCGAAGCAGCCGACCTATGGGAGGGCGACAGTGGGGGGAACGGTCATGGAGACAGCCCTGAGCAGCGTCCGCAGGACCACACTGCCCGTAGGACCGCTGGCCCACAGCCCGCGTGCCCGCAGCCAGAAGGCCCGGCTGTCGGGAGGCTCCAGTCTGCCTCCCGCGCGAACAGCAGGCCCCAGGGCAGCGAGCTACCATGTAGAAAGGAAGCCTCAGGGTTCCCGGCAAGCCCCGCAGGGCGCAGGGCGGCCGATCTTCCCCGGGAGCAACAGCCAAAGCTGGGCACCGCGGGGCAAACCGCGCCCACCATGGACGGCCAATCCCCGTGGACAACGCTGGGGGAGCTAACGAGGATGCGGGTGCCCTGCGGCTCAGAGCCGCGGGCTAGAGGGCGCACTGCGCATAGGACAAACGGCAACATGGGGACCTGAAGAAAAATCTACCCAAATCGAAGGTTATTTTTTCCTCTGCTTTTTTATACGTCCCCGTTTCTGTAAACAGACGTGCCTCTTTCCAGAGCAGATGAGCAAAGGTCTCAGAAAAGGAGTCAGGAGAGACTCCCCGCCAGCGTGATGGGGGCCCCGGGATGGGAGAGATATGGGAGCCGCCCGGGCAGAGCGTGTCTGCATCTGCGCGCGGTCCTGGAGCGGAGCCGAGCGGCAGGTTTGCCCTGTGGCCACTGGGTCCCCGACAGGAAAGGAAAAAAGGGCAGGCCTGCAGGGGGGTCGAGATCCCAGCGGTTTCTGACACAGGAGAGGACGGGACAGTTGAAGGGCTCCTACCGTGACGTAGAAGGCGGTGACCACGTTGAGGGAGCAGGCAAATATGGAGCTCATGGTTTTCACCGACGGCTCATCCAGGCTGTCGTAGGTGGGCAGAACCTGACTGTATAAACACCAGCGACTTCACCAAGCAGACTTCAGAGGAAGACACGCCCTCTGCCTGCCCTTGTCCCCAGGTCCCCAGTCCCCCCTGAGTCTCCAGCACCGTCCTTCCAACCACACCCGCCACCATGGTAACTCCAGGCCACAGCTGAGGTTCAGATGGCGGGGTGGCCCCAAGCACCCCCCTAATGAGCTATCTGCAAACACTGTAGAAGTGCCACAGAATGAAAGGCTGTCTGTCCCGCAGAAGCAGGAGCGTGACCACCGCACGGAGTGCCAGGAGGCAGTGAAGCCACATGTTGACAGGGGAGGCAGGAAGCAGTGCAGAGCGCCGCCGTCAAAAGAACAGAAAGTTAAACAAACGTAAGCAGGGCCGGGCCACCTGCCCTCGCCTCAGCGCTGCTGATTGGAGCCCACAGGGACAGAGAGGCAGCTTCCATCCCACGCATGGCCCAGGGCCAGCAGCGCAGTGCTGCTGGGCGGTGGAAGGGACACGGCCGTTGGGCCTTCTGCAAACAGCGGACAGTCCCTGTGGGGAGCAGTGGGGAGGGCCGGGAAAAGGGGTGGGCAGTGGAGGTCTATGTGCAGGCCTGGGAAGGGAAGCCGGACTCGGGGGTGTCCAAACAGAAGGCGGCCACTCTCCCGCCCATGTACTGTGGCGTCCCAGCGGCTGAGGGACAGAGCGCCTCGGCCCGCGGTCATGCATGCTGAATGCCAGCTGGCAGGGATACGCCAGGTGCAGAAAATGGTTGCCAATAAATGGACAAGCACAGCACTGAGTGGAGCCAAACCCCGAAACCACCTTCCAGAAAGTAAGAGGAGACATCACTGCAAAGCAAATAGGAACTGGTGGGAAGAACTGGCCAACAGGAGCTCGGGCACGCTGTCCCGCTGGGGCACCCACAGTGGGCAGGGGTCGCCCTGGAAAGCTGCCCTCCCCTCGGCCCAGCTGGAGGGCGCCAGGGAGCACCGGCCCGTGCAGCCCAAGTGGATGGCAGAAGGCCCGCAGGGGACACAGCACCAACATCTCAGTGCCAGACAGCTCCTCGGGCTGAGCCAGGGTCCATGCCAGTGAGTGACAACTCGGGGAAGCAGAGTCAGACCCCAGGACGGGGACTTCTCCCGACCCCTGGCCCCCAGCACACACCAGGAGCTGCAGGTACCGTGGGGAGTAGGTTGTGCCCCGTGCTGGCGCATGAGCAAGTGCAGAAAGGCCCCCTAATCCTGCCCGTGCCCCTGGAACCCAGCTACTGGGAGCCACAGACGTCCATGACGAACCACCTCGGCACTCCACGGAGCGTACCCAAACCGCCCACCTTGCCGAGCGGCCTCCAAGACTTGCTTTACCCGAGTCAGACAGAGCTTCCCACATGCAGCCCCAACGCACAGACCTGGGCCTCCGTGTGGACCAGGCCCCTCTGTGCTCGGCACTCCCCAGGCTGCTTCTCTGGGCCACAGGGCCTCGTGGTTCTGGATTTGTTTACTAGGAAGTAAGACCAGACAGGGCCAGACGGCAAGAGCAAAGCAGCAGCCTGGCCCACCCCCGCAGAAAGGACACCAGTCATGCAGGCAGTCACCCGGCAGGCCCGTCTCTCATGCACGCTCGTGCAGAGATGCAGCGGGAGGGGAGCGCTTGGTCTCCACCCTTGGCAAATGCTATGTTTTTAAGGGGAGGTCCCCAAACCAGTCATTCCAAGCTCTGTGGACGTCCTTGCCAATCGCTCACTGGGGAGAACATGGGCGCTCTCCGTAGGGCCAGTGCTCCCTTCGAGCAGGACAACCTTCCAGAACGTACCATCTGACCTAGGACCCAAACCCAACAGAGGTGGGCTGGCTACCCCGCAGCTGCCACCAAAAAGCCCAACCACTGGCTTCTGCTCCAAAAAGCAAACTCACAGACAAAAAAGGACAACTGGTAACAAGGTATGTCGTGAGAGAGTGGAACTTCTGTCACCAAGTATAATGGGGACATTAAACTGCAAGAGTAGAGCGTGTTCTGGCGGAACCAAGCTGCCAAGAGAGACAGTAAGTGGGAAATGACGATTTGGATCTCGCATGTGGGTGTAAACACAGCAGCACGAGCAAATTTTATCTGCCACATTAGTTTACGATTGGCACAATACAAGCCCACTGGAGCTACGGGGGGGCTGGCAGAAGCGGGCCCCCCCGGGTACCGATGGTCTTTTCCCGTCCGTGCCGGATTTACGCCTCTCTTTTGAGCGGGTTACCGCTCCGACCGGGCATGAATCACTGGCTCTTGTCGCTCGGTGGCGAAGGTAGCGCTGCTGGAATTATGGAAATAGCCTGATCTGCATTCCCAGAGCCCTGCGTGCCAGAGAGAACGCACACTCGCGCACGCGCACACGCCTCCGGAGGCGCCCGGCGGCACTCGGAAGTCAATGTTTGTGCAATTTCCTTTTAAATATTCTCACACGAACAGCTCAGTTCTGGCAAAATGCTTGGGACTGTGTGAATCAGATGGTTTGGGGCTGTTCTGTGTTCCCCACAGCCAACTCTTCTGGGGGGAGGGGGGCGAACTGGGCACTGTCCCCAGTCCTGCCGGCAGCACATCTCAGGAATAAAGTCGAGTTCTCTCTGGATAAAAATACACACAGCTCTCTCCCTCAGCTTGGAGGGGGACAAGTCACAACAGAAGGAGGCATCACGCGATGGTGGCCCGCGTCGCCAATTCCAGACAAGAGAGGACGCCCGTCTCCCCGCGACCCCCCGCGCCGAGGGACACCCCCACGCCTCGGGCCCCCGGACAGCAGACGGTACTTACGACTGGCAGGCGAAGGACATGCCGAAGATGGGGATACAGCGGAAGACACCCTCCCAGCGCACGTAGCTGACACGCTGCAGCCACTGCCCACCGAACAGGCCGTGCTTGAGGGAGGACAGCACGATCTGCACGGGGACGAGAAAGGTGAGCTCAGGGCAGATCGGCACACGAGGTGCAAATCGGGACCCCCGCACCGGGCCGAGTACCGTGGCCCGGGCCACATTACCGGAAGATGGCCGCACGCTCCCGTGGCGAGACCTGATGCCGCTGGATGGGGCCCCGCACCCGTGGTTTCCCGCCCTGCGCCGTGCCACGAGCTGGACACACACAGCCAGCGGGGCTTCTGAGGCAGCTGCCCGTGCCCTGAACACACGTGGCAGACAGGGCACAGTGAGGCCCACCTGCCACCCCCACCTCAGTTGCCTCAGGGGACAGGACGGTCCCTGCAAACTGGGCAGGCCCTTCCCAGGGCCATCTGGACACTTTGTTCTTCTTTAAGTAGGGTCTGCGCCCAACGTGGGGCTCGAACTCACGACCCTGAGATCACGAGCGGCACGCTCCACCGACTGAGGCGCCGCCGCCCTCCCATTTTAAAAGACAAACCCCCAGAGAACAGGCTGTCTGGAGAACAACGTGACCTTACCGGGCAGCCTTCCCCAGGAGGCTGCTGGGGTGCTGGGAAGGACTCAGCTTTCTTAGGAAAACCCATGGCAAAGGCTTTCACGCTGTGCACTCAGGAGTGGGCCCGTCTGACCCTCACCATGACGGTCAGGCCCCGGGCTCAGGCCCCACAGGCTCCCACTCAGAGGCCTCCAGGCGCGCGGAAGGACACAAGTGTTCCAAGCATGCACTCCACGCCGGCCACCCAGAACCGGGTGGCAAAGAATGTTCATCTAGAAAACCACCTGTCCCCTTGTGACCAGGCGTCCGCGCCACAAGTCCCGATCACTGACTGCACATGAAATGTCTCTCTGTCAAACGAGGGGCCTCCGTACCTCGCTTCCTGGGGCATCGGCTGCACCCCTGCCTGGGCACCATCGCTGCCCTGCCGGCCCAGATCCAGGCAGCCCCCGTGCCCCGCCAGGGCTCACGGGCACGACTCCACCCCTTGCCCAGCTTCCGAGCACCTTCCTGTCCCCGCCAGGAGCACTCACCACAAGCATGAACACGGTATAGAACATGAGGGCCATGGCGCTGAAGGACTGGATGGAGGCCATCATGTTCCTCTGCAGGCTGAGGGGAAGCACGATGCACAGGGACACCGCGAAGAGCAGGAACATGCGGAAGGTGCCGACCACCTGCGGGGAGCCGAGCGGGCCGGGCAGGCGCCTCCCCAGTGGTCCCCAGAGCTTCCAACCCGCGGGCCTGGAACTAACCCCAGAGTGTCCAGAAGCTTCTCCTAACCTACCGCAGGCAGCTGGCCTCACCCTGCCCCTGCCCCCCACCCCCGGGGGCTGAGAGGCAGCCCTGCAGGGGTGTCGCCAGCAGCTGCCACACGAGCAGCCACGAGCACACCAAGGCCCCGGGGCCCTAAGCGTGTTCTCACCTGAAACCCAAAGAGCCGAGCAAAGAAGTTGGACCCCAAGTCGCCGATCACAACGTAGAAGGCCATGCAGGTCCCCAGCATCAGCCCGATCATGCTGCAGAGACAGAGGTCGGGCTGAAGGGCGGACCGGGCCGGACCCCGCCATCTCGCCTCCCACCCCCCACTGAGACCCGTCCCCCACCACGCGGCTGGCCCGTGATCGCCGAGGCCAGCCGGAGGAAGAGGCAGTGTCCCGCAAACGCCCGCCCGCGGGCCTGGGCTGGGACCGGGGCACTTCGCTCTTCCCAGCGAACGGACGCTGGACAACTGTGCTTTTCTCGGCACGGCACGCCGCGTGGCTCCCTCCAGGGCTGCAAACGTGCCCTGGTGCTCCGCGAGTGAAAAGAACCGTCAGGTGCCTTCAGAGGCCGCTCCCGAGTCCAGGATTCCCTAACTTACAAGCCTAAAAGGGCAACTTCCCAGCAACTCTCTCATCTCACGAAACTCTACTCCAAGGGGGAAAGACAGGACCGTTCCACGCGGCCTCGAGGCGACCGCGTGTGCGGCGGGGGGCACACGGGGTTGGGGAGCAGGGCTGAGTTCCCCGAGTTCCCCATTCTCACATCTTCCCTAGCAGGACTTACATGGGACTTCGGCCCCAAACACAAATTTCTTTACGGTGACGACAAATGCCGCTTTCAACTACTGAGTCAGTGACACTCGAGAAAAGTACCACTGTGTAAAGCAGTCCACGTCCGAGACGCGCGGCTCAGGGTGTGATGGCCCTCAGGCTTCTCCTCAGGGCGGGTGAAGGAGGGCAGAGGGGGACAGAGGAGGACAGAGGTGGCCAAGCGCCAGCACGTACCTGGTCTCCACCACCATCTTCCCCGCCTTCCCGTAGGCGTGCAGCGCTAGCGCAGAGAGAGAGAAGCGGGGTCAGTCGGACGGCGCGGACGCCACACCCGCACACACCCCCGCGGGAAGCCTTGAGGGGCACCTGGACAAAAACCTGCTGGTCTGGCATTTCAGGGGTGTAGGGAGGGCATTTTAAGATTCCGGTCCCATGCTTTTCTCGGGTCTACTCAACTAACGGAAACCACAGAGAAAAGAATAAAAAGGAGAGAAAGACACAGGCAGTTGGTTTTTTTCACTAGAAATAACAAAGGAGACCTGTCCCCGTGAGCGGTGGTCCCCTGCATGCAGCCGTGGGGGAGGGGTGCCCGTGACCAAGGCCGCGCATGCGCCCAGGTCGGGGGAAGCCGGGAAGCCAGGGAGGCTGGGGAAGCCCGGGGGGGGGGGGGGGGGGGGGGGGGGGGGGGTGCGCCCAGTGCCCACGGGTCTCCATGCTTCTGCAGCCCACGCCAGAGGGACCTGGCTAAGGGCTTCAGGTTCACCCACTGTGACTCCAGAGGGAAACTCAGAGAATCTTTTCTAGTGGGGCACTTTGGGGGGCGAAGGGACAAGAGGTCTCGGGCCTGCCCCCCTCGAGGTAGACGATCAAGGAGCCGGGCTTGAGAACAGCGTGTCCTGCAGCGGACAAGAGATGTCTGTCCCTCCTCCCTGACGGCAGAACTGCCCTGAGCAGCTGAGAGACGAAGGCAAGGCCCCTCGCAGGACCCGACCGTGGCCCTGGGAAACCCACGTCCCCCCACCCTCTAGCAAGTTCCCATCTCCCAGGAGCGGCCAGAAAGGGGTGCGCGCGACAGCCCAGCCCAGCCCAGCTTCCCTTTCTGAGGAGACTCAGAGAGCAGGAAACATGTAGCCAGTTGGTGCCTGTCACTTCCCAGTGACTTAGGAGAGGTACAGTGTCGCCAAGTGCGGGGAGCTTGGCACATCACACACGGGACAGAGGCCATGAACAGGCAGAAGGCCGGTAAGCAGCACCAGCCTTGAGGGTCACGCTGGCCTTCCCGGCTTGTCTGACTCGTCACAGACGCAAGGCCAAGCTGAGCCCTTCACAGACTAAGGAGCCCAAGGCCTGCTGTCACCCAAGGGAGGCGCTCTGAGGCTCCCAAGGACAGCCGATGGGCAACGCGCCTCCGGACGGGACACATAACTCAGTGCCCCGCAGAGGTGGCCCCGCGCCCAGCCGATGCTTCTCTGCGAGGAAGCTGAACAGCTACGGCGCATTCCGAATGCTCGGAGCAGCTGCCAGAAAACATCCCAGAACACACCTGCACCCTGGAGAACGGGGAACCGGAAAATACTTCAGCAAGTCAGGGGACCAAGGTGGGAGGTGGCTCTCTTCACCCAGATACCCAGGACAACCTCACGGGGCCGCCCCAGTTTCGGGCCTCCCCACTCAGCCCTTTCCTTACCTGGGCTCCCCCACTCCCCACTTCCAGGGCGGATCCCTCAGCAGCCTCCAACCCCGAGTCCCAAACAGAAATGCCCAGCAGGCCCCGCCCTTAGCTTCCCACCTGGCATGGCACTGGAAGGGCTGAGCAGGCCCGGGACTGTCCCTCAGGGGAGGAACCACAGTGACGGGCCAGGCCCAGCGGGCCGGCAGGTGTCTGAGGAGGGTTCTGCCTCTCCCTGGGACGGACACTCTGCAGCCGGCAGGCCGGGCCATGGGGACGAGGAGGAGGCGTGGCCTCGTACCAGTCTAACCAGTGCTCTCGTGCAGAGCGAGGACGGCTGTCAGGAGGGCTCTCCCAGTCTTTCCCTGGGAGGCCGGGCAGAAGCTTCTCCTCCTGGGGGCCACTGCCCAGCCTGCGGCTCCGAGGCTGCAGAGGACACAGGGCTGACGCTGAGACTTCCTGGTTCAGTGCAGGACCCTGACCCCACTCCCGCTCTCTCCACCAGCTTTCCAAAGCCTCCTCCTCACGGACGCCAGCATCAGCAGGGCAGAGAAGGTGGTTCACACACCAAACTGTGCTGTTTGAGACAGAAGGGTGACCTCAAGCCAGCCGCCCCCGGAGCCAGGCCTTGGACTACGTGATTCCCCAGTGCCACTTGACAGAGGCCAGTAGAACGTCTGTTGGGTCAACAAGGGTGTAGAGACCCCCGGGCACCAGAAACATTGGCTCCACTGCCCTCACACCTGAGCCACGTATCCACGCGTGTGGGTCACACGTCCGAAGACCGGCAGGGAGAAAACTGGCCAGACAGGCCCTCAGCAGGCCCCACCCCAGGCCCAGGAGTAGGCGGCAGGCTGACCAGGACCCCAAGACCCCAGACACAGTGCCAGAAGCATCTAGTGCGCACAACGGGGAGCCCAGAGGCCACACTCAGCACAGTGGAGTCCGGGCCTTGGGGAGGCCCTGGGGGCTGAGACCCCAGGGGGAGGCTGACGGGCTGGCATGCCCATCTTCTAAAGACGAGATTTAGAAAAGTCTCCATGAGGGCCCAGGTGGCTCAGTCAGTGAAGCGTCTGCCTTCGGCTCGGGTCATGATCTCAGGGTCCTGGGATTGAGTCCCGCGTCGGGCTCCCTGCTCAGTGGGGAGCCTGCTTCTCCCTCTGCTCCTACCCCTGCTCGTGCTCTCTCTCTCAAATAAATAAATAAAGTCTTTTTAAAAAATCTACATGAAGCAGAATGTACACGGGGAGAAGCAGGTGAGACGTGGGTGACATTCGCCGACCCGGCCCAAGAGCAGCCTCCAGACCACCACGAACACACGGAGGTTCCATCGACAGACACGGCCCCAGCGCCGTGATCCCCGCCGGGCAGGGCGCCCTCCCCAGCAGACACCACAAACCGCTCACAGGGGAAGGGGCGACACTGGGTTCACCGCCAGGGGCTCACCAAATTGAGGCACGGTGGCAGTCTCACTGGCGTCTGCGCGTGGCAGACATCCTCCGTGAAACCGCCCCCTGCGCACACCCCACCCCTGCCGTGGAGCCCACTTGTGGGAGCTGCGTCGGCCACTCCGGCCGCTGCTCCGTCTCCAGGTCTGGCCGAAGGCCACACGGCCATATGCCTGCCCCCAACCCTCCCGGCGCCCACGGATCCAGCAGATGACGCGTCTTAGGGCTGGGGGCTCTGCCAACAGAGGCTGCTTGTCCCGGACCCCGGGGCCGCGGGTCCCAGGCCGCCCTCTCCAACTGTGCTGCAAGCTCGCACGGTTTCTCGGCCAAGAGAAGGCAGAGCGTGAGAAGAAAAGGCCCTTTCCGTAAGCCTGCCCCGGCGTGGTGGGCCGCCGATCCACAGGGCCCGAGAGGATCTCGTCTCTTCCTGTCCGCGACTCCCGTGCAAGTGGCGGGGCCTCTGTTTCTGAGTGACAGTGCGGGGCCCCAGGCTGGACCCAGGGCGTCTGACGCTGCCCACGGGGCCACAGGGCCACGGGGTCTGTGGGAGCTCACGCAACGGAGACACCTTGCTCCGGACCAAAGGCACAACTGAGGACCGCCAGTGAACCAGGATCTTCTTTGCAGCTGGGCTCCAGTCACGGCAAGCAGCCCCGGGCAGCCACATTCGAGGGTGTCCGTCTGCTTTCCTGGCAGATGCTCTCATCCAGCCAAACCGGTTTGCTTTCTCAGGGACTTTCGAAGAATACTCAGACCGCTGTCCAAAGCCACCAGTCTCCGCGGTCTAAGGTCACCTGTCCTCTGTCAGGGCCCAGCCAAGGCCTTCGTGGGACGTCTGCTCCGGGAACCCCGCCAAATGGTGACCCTCAGAGGGGAGAAAAAGATCACTCCAAAGGTCACAGCCCTGAAGGTGGAAGAAGGGGCACCCCAGAGCACACGTCATCCGGAGCTGCGGGAGGTGCTCTCCGCAGGATCCGTTCACCTGTAACTGCGACCTCCTCGCGTGGCTCCGGCACCGAGAGCCTGACAGCACCGTCCTCACGGGCAAGGAGGGAAGGGGGAGCGCCTTCAGCTCTGAGCTCAGAACAGACGCTAGGACCGCGGTGCCGACGCAAAGCAGACGAGCTAGGAGGCAACCAGAAGTGGCACCGCCACAGCCCACGGGCGCGGACCCTGCACGTGTTTTTATTCTATTTGGCCCCTTGGAGCGCGCACGCCACTTCCTCTCGCCACCGCCTCTCCACTCTGAGAGCACAAGCGGACCAGTGCCCCGACCACACACTGGCAGCAGAGCGGGAGCAGGGTTTCCATCCGGGGCCCAGGGCTTCTCCCCAGCTCCTGAGAGCCCCCAGGCCAGATCTCAACAGCACAGTACCCTGAGGATGGCGGGAAAGCCGGGCCCCTGCCCGCCGGGCCCCTGCCCTCCGAGCCGAGTGCCCCAGGAAACAGTACAAACCAAAAGGAAGTAGAAAGCACAGCCTCCTCGCCCTTGGCCGAAATCAAAGGAAAAAGACATACAGGAAATGAAATTACAACCAAGAGCATCAGGAAACAGCAGCGCTAGAGAGACAGGGGACTGGATCCCGGCCATCGGCCTGGGCTGGACGGTCATCTCCTCCACGACATTCAGAGTGGCAAAGCACCACAGCCCCCAGCAGGCGGCCCCGGAGGAAGGCTTCGAGTACTCAGGAGAGGCAGACAAGGAGCACGTGCACAGGGGGGCGGGCGGGCCGCTGGTCCTGCCTGAATGTCGAAGGGAAGGCCCTCTACAGGTGTTTGCATCAACGGGAAACAGGAGAGCAAGTCTCACCTCCTCAGGGAAGCCTGTTGCCTCTAGTAACAGTTTTTAAAAAACGGCATTAAATTTTAAAATAAGTGGGGCACCTGGGTGGCTCAGTGGGCTAAAGCCTCTGCCTTCGGCTCAGGTCGTGATCCCAGGGTCCTGGGATCGAGCCCCGCATCGGGCTCTCTGCTCAGCAGGAAGCTGCTTCCCTCTCTCTCTCTCGCTCTGCCTGCCTCTCTGCCTACTTGTGATCTCTGTCTGTCAAATAAATAAAATCTTTAAAAAAAAACTTTAAATAAGGAAGAAAACCTGCTGTTCAAGGAGCTCTTTAAGCATGAAGTGGAAGGAAAGTAAGTAAAAAAAAGGAGCAAGGCCCCAACAGATCGCGAATGCTGCACTCCCCAGGCAAGGGCTCGGGGACGCCCAGCCGCTGCGCCCAGCGCCGCCATCCTCACCCAGGCCCGCGTACGTTCTCCGTTTGCTCAGGCTGGCGGATTTCACCAGGAACATGCAGGACTGGTGCGTCATCCAAGAGCAGAAAACCAACAGCAGGGCCCCCAGGACGATGCCACACTGGAGAGGAGGGAGACAAAGAGACAAAATAAAGTGACCCGGTGCTGCCGCCTCACCCGCGTGGCTCCCGAGCACCCTCTCGGCCTCCCTCAACCCTCGCCAATGCCAGGCCCCAGCTCTGCCTCACTCCCCTGCCTACAGGTGACAATTCCCAGCACTGAAAGAGACCAATTCCCTGCATGGGGTGACCACGTGCTTTGTGACCCTGAAAGAGTGCCAGGGACGCCACTGCCTCCGTGGCCCCGCCGAGTCTTACCGCATACCTAGCTACGCGCTGCCAACCACTGGCCCCCCCGGCTCCCTGCGAGCGCCCCCCACTCTGCCGCCTTCCAGCCCCCCGGGCCAGCAGCTAGCAGTGGTGAACACACTCTGGCGGGAAGAGATGAAAAATGGCACTGACGCCTTTCTTAGGACTTGAACAGACACCATCCGACCCAGCCATGGCACTCCCCGCGATCACCCGGCAGAAGCGGACGCGTGTTCACGCACTTGCCTGCCGGTGTTTAGAGGGGTTTATCCGTGATCTAAAAGCCGAAGAGACAAGTGCCCTACCAGCCTCTACTGGAGGTGAGCGTACACCCTGCCCTTGAGAAACAGCCCCGGGAAACGCGCACGGAGCGTCCGAGCCCGTGTGCAGGAGCTCACGGAGCCGCGGGCAGGCGACGCCGTGGGTGCCGAGCGGAGGCAGAGGAGTGAAACACGGCACAGCCGCAGCAGGGACGCCAGGGGACACGAGAAGGCACGCAGGAGTCTGCTTCCACGACACAGTGCCCTGCTCTGCGGCGCTGCAGGTGGGATGGTGGGCCCAGCGGGAGGGGCGGGGGGGTGCTGGCTGCGCTCTGTTCCTTAATTTGGGAGTTAGTGTCACGTGTTCGTTCACTTTTTTAAAAATCACCCAGAACACACCCAAGAGCACACTTCTCTGTATGCGTGTCACCCTTCAGTGAAATGTTAATTCTTTTTGGAAAGTACCCAAGTTACTAAAATCAAACAAACAGAAAGAACCCCAAAACCGTGACATGGCTGTCAGACACCAACAACACACATCCTCAAACTGCCCCTGGCCTGCCGCGGTGCCCCAGCCGAGGCCTTCCTGGGGAGCAGGTGCTGGGCCCACATGAGAGGCTGCCCCTGGTCCGCCAGGCCCTCAGCACGGGGGGGGACCCCCTGCGGTCCTGTGCTCGCACGCAGGCCTCCACCACGAAGCGTGAGCCCTTCCTGGGCACGTTAGTCTGGCTGGGGCCTCGTGCCCACCACGCGCCAGACACAGATCTGCGCACGGCTGAGTCACCCCGGAAAGCACGCTCCCCAGGAGCCCCAGCAGAGCCGTGCTGCCACGGCACCTTACAGACCCGCGTGGAGGAGGGCAGCCTTGGACCCACAGAGGCCCAAACACACACGGGCCCCAGGACGCAGCTCCGGGCCGGGCAAGTCTCAGCACAGCCTGGGGCACACAGTCCTTCCAGAAAGGCCCGCGAGTGGCCGGGCACGCTGGGACTCAGCGTGAGGTCACAGGTGCTGCCCCTGGGGTTCTAGAGCGGCCAGAGTCCCTGTCCTCCTACCCACCGTCTGCCAGCACAGTCATCAGCAACTCGCCTGGAACTCGGAAGCAATTCAGGCTGGGAGGCTGAGGTGGGGGATTAATAATCTCCAGATTTAAGAAAAAAATGTGGTGCTATTTTTACTCCGAAGATGCTAAGTATGAAAATGCAAAGTGTTTAGCCTAAAATTAAGCGATGGGCGCCCACGTTATTTCCACTTCTCTCCCCGCCTGGCTTCATCCCCAGACTGGTCCTCGCCCGCAGCCACCTGCCTGCCGCCGGCCCGCCCGCCCCTCCCCTGGCTGGCAGCCCCTCCCCCACAACCCGCCAGCCCCCTCCAGGGCGCAGGGGGCGCAGCAACCCCAGCCCGGGCACACGTGAGGCCCAGGAGCTCATTTTTAGGGAAGAAGTTGCCCAAGTTGATGAGCTCACCAGCCTCCCTCGGGTGAGGCACCAAAGACCCGTTCACTTGTGGATTCCACGCAAGCCGAGCGGGCGCGGCCCCTCGGACGCGGCTCTTCTCCACGCGGCCTTACTGTCGCGTGGCACCGATTTCCAAGTGGATTTCAGATGCTTCTCGGCGGAGCGGACATTTACGTACGGCCCAGCTCAGTGGGCGAACTCTGGGGTCACCTCGGCGCCCCCGCCCCCGCCCAGTCCCAAGGCCCGCAGGCCTGCAGCCTTGCGCCCCGCAAGCAAGCGCGCGCTGGGGTCAGAGTTCTGGGAAGGGGCGGGGAAGCGGGGACGCCTGGCCGGCTCCGCCCGGGGGCAGACCCCAGATGTCCGGGTCGCGAGTGTGAGCCCCACGTTGGGCCTAATGATTGCTTAAAATCTCAAAAAAAAAAAAAAAAGCCAACAACCCACGATAATAAGGAAACAAGGAGAAGTAGCAGGGACCCTGCGGTCAGCACCCGCGCCCGAGCCGCGTCTGAGTCGCGAGCCGCGCGGACGCTCGGGCCACGGCCGGCGGGGGCCCCGGCTCCCACACCGCGGGCTCTGGCCGCCGACCCCGCCCAGCGCCTCCCCCAGCCCCGACGCCGGCCGGCCGGCCGGGTCAGCGCCCCCGACGGCCCGCGGGCCACCCCGCGCCGCTGGACTCACCTGTTTGAAGCAGAAGGGCATGGTGAGCACACTGACCCCCACTATGCTGTTCACTATGTTCGTGATCAGCCCCCAGTTGGAGGCGGCGGCCGCGGTCATCGCGCGGGGCTTAGGGCCCGGGAGCCCCGGTCCGAGGCACTGGGACCACCGGGAATGCGAGACCCTGACACGGACGGGCGACTGCCTGGAGGAGGCGGCCTCGCGGGAAGGCGGCAGGGACGGTCAACCTCCAGACCCCGCCAGGCCCTGCGGCTGCCTCATGGCATCGTCCCCCACTCGCTGTCGCCGGCCGCCCCCGCGTCCCGGCGCCCAGACACCGAAGCGCAGCCAGAGACCACCCGCGGCCACCTCAGCCGGTCTTCACGACCGCCTCTCGGCGCACACTTCCGCCTTCCGCAGGCTTCTCTGCCCGGAAGTGAGGGCGCGCGAGGGCGGGGCTCCACGAGCACGCACCAATGAGAGGCCGGTCTGGAAGGGCCTGCGGGGCTGGCGAGGGGAAAGCTGCGGCGTGGCCCGGAGGGGCGGGTCTCGGCGGACCGCAAGCCAATGGGAAGCGGGTGCGGGCTTCCGGGGACGGGGCCCGCTGCGGGGGCGGGGACGGGGGCGGGGACGGGGGCGGGGGCTACCCGGCTCCGCCGTCCCGCCCCGGTCCAGAGCTTCAGGCCGGTTAGCCCGCGGGTCTGGTCCCTCGAGCCTCGCCTTGCAGGGGCTTCAGGACAAGGTCGGTGGGGTCAGGTGAGAAGGGCAGCGCGGCGCTTTCGGAGGAGAGCGGTTGGAAGGGGTCACTTTCAGCGGTTACAGCCGGGATGGATGTGCGGGCGCGCGCTCGGGACCGGGGCCGGGGGCCGGGGCTTGCTAGCAGGGGAGCTGCGCCCTGAGCCTGTTCAGAGGAGCTGGCACCCTGGGTTACGGGGGACACGCGCAGGCGCAGAGAGTCTTGGCGACCCCGCTAGGGGCACACAGCTCGCAGGAGAGAGCGTGGCACCTGATCCCCGGGTCGGCCCTTCGGAAGTGCACGCGGGTCGGCGCCCAGCGGGTCTGACGTCCCAGCGGCGCCAGAGCAAATGACACGCGCCGAGAGGACAGCAGGGGTGGGGAACAGAAGGACCGGAGAAATCTAGAAGGGCTCCCCGAAGGAGGTGGCTTCTCCGCCGGGCCTCGAGAAACAGATGGGACTGGAGGAGGAAGGGCTTGGGGAGGGGAGAGAACAGAGAAAAGCCCTGATGCGCTTGTGGATTCCCGGCGCCGGCAGATACTCACCGTGTGTCCGCTAAAGGCATGCACAGCCACGGAGGGCCGGGAAGGAAGGGCCTTCTCAGGACCACGCAGGTAATTCCAAGCAGGGTGGACCGCCCCAGGAACCCGAGGCTGCTGGGAGAGGATAGAGGGGCGTCCCCGGTTGTGGACACCCGGAGGACCTTATGTTTTAGAACAGAAGCTGGTTCCTCAGCTCCACTCTCAAAGCCGCTAGGTAAGGAAAGCTCTGTTGCACCCACAGGCACCAGGGGAACAAGAGGGAATGCCAGGTCAAGAGTACTTAATGCAGGGGCACCTGGGTGGCACAGTCACGGACTCTTGGTTTTAGGCTCCGGTAGTGATCTCGGGGGTCCGGGGATCAGCCCCCAGGCCTGGCGCTGCTCGCAGCCCAAAGAGACTCCTCTCCCTCCCCCTCTGCTCCTCCCCACTGCTCTCTAAAAGAAGTAAATAGAATCTTAAAAAAAAAAAAAGTTCTTAATTCAAAGCCAGAATAGTACGTGCCATTCATTCCTCTTTATATAAATCACACACACGTTCTGTAATCTTTTTTACTTTTATGATGGAGTATGAAGCTTGAAAGTATGTTTTAACAGAGAATAATGACTACTCCTGACTCCACCATTCGGCTCTAAGACTGAAACTTAAACATACCCTTTGGTGGTCCCTCCACACATCCACCTTCCTGTCCCCTTCGAAGCAGTCCTGGGATTGTGATTACCCTGACAAGTTATCACTCCAGGGCTTTCCTTTAGAGATTTACCACCCATGGGCATGTGCCCAGACTGTGGGGAACATTACTGTTTGTGTCCTCATGTTCATTTACGCAGTCTCCCAAGTTTTGCCAGCATGTACGGCTGCCTAGGACAGAGAGCGCACTTCCCAGCCTCCTTTGCAGCTAGGGGTGATTCTTCCTAATGTCTGCAGCTTCGAGGTTGTGGGAGGAAGCCGTCTTGGGCCACACGGACCGTGGTGGGAGTGGAACAGTGAGCTAGAAGGAGCCTGGATCTCTGGATCTCTGGACAACATCGTGGAGCAGAGCCGCCATCCCAGCCCCTAACTGCCTCCTCCATACTGCCCTGCCAGGGAGAGACAAGCCACCCCCTTTAAGCCATTGTTACTTTGCACTTTGCTGCAAGAAACCAAAAGTTATAGCCTAACTAATTGAACTGCGTGTTGGGGTAGAGCGTTTTTGCATTTTTTATTTTTATACTAATGGGTTTATACATATGTGTTCTTTGGCAACTTCCTTTTTCACTCAGCTGTTGGCAAGATTCATTGTCAAATTGCTCTGCAGAGCCATTCATTTTTGCTCTGGAATTCTATTGTTCAAATGGCGCAGGATACATGTACTTACGCGCCTGCTGAGGGCACCAGAGCCGTTCCGTTATTCGCCCTTAGAAACAGTGGTACAGTGAACGTTACGGTGCTTGTCTCCGTCCCCCCTTAGAGTTTCTCTAGAGCAGACATGTAGAAGTGGAATTGTAGATTCAAGACTATGCACACCTTTGATGTTACCAGATTTTGCCAAATTGCTGTTCAAAGTACTTAAAAGGACTCGTTTACATCAGAGGCTGGAAAACTTTTTTCAGTAAAGGGATAGTGGGGGCACCTGGGTGGCTCTGTCGGTTGAGCGTCTGCCTTCGGCTCAGGTCAGGATCCCCGGGTCCTGGGATCGAGTCTAGCGTTGGGCTCCCTGCTTAGTGGGGAGCCTGCTTCTCCCTCTCCCTCTGTGTGCTTACTTGCTCTCTCTGTCTCTCAAATAAATAAATAAATATCTCTTTTAAGATCTAGATAGCATATATTTCCTGCTATTCAGTTGCCATATGGTCTCCATCACGACTCTTCGGTTCTTCCGTTGTAGCTCCAAAGCAGCCCTCACCAGTACATACCAGAGGAATATCTGTGTTCCAATAAAACTTTATTTATAAAAAAACTGGCTGACCCAGTCTGGCCTGAAAGCTGTACATTGCAGTCCTCTGCTCTAAATTGTCACCTTCGTTTGGTATCATCAGGGTGGCCAAGCTGGTGGCCAAGCTGGTGAATAAAATGAAATCTCATTGTGGTTTTACTTTGTTCTCCTTAATTACAAATGAAGTTAATCGCCCTACTCAAATGTCATCGTCCATTTATATTTCTTTTATTGAATGCCTGTTCCTTTTCACCCATTTTTTCTAAAGAGCTGTTTACATTTGTTCTTATGAATTTTGAGGAATTCTGTGAGCTTGATCACTGACGCTGTGTCCCTCGACTTGGGTCATCTACTTGCTCCTCGCTGTTAGTCTTCCACTGCTGCCGTGACAAATCACTGTCAACTTACCAGTTTACCCAGCAGAAATCCCTTATCTCACAGTTCCATAGTTCGGAAGTCCAGTAGGGATCTTGGCGACCGAAATCTCGGTGTGGGCAGACTGCCTCCGTTCTGGAATCCCGAGGCGAGAATCCGATTCCTGCTCCTTCAGCAGCTGGAAGAACTCACTTCCTTAGGGCGGGAGGACCAAGACACCTTTTCTCGCCAGCTGTACACTGAGGGCCGTCCCCGGGTTCTAGAGGCCTCCTCATGGTCCCCTTCCTCCACTTCCGTAGCCAGCGCTGGGGGAGGGCTCAGCTCCCTCTCACAGCACGTGTCTCTGACCCAGCCAGGGACTTTTCCAATTTTAAGGAAACAGGATTAGATCGACCTCATCGGGTAACGTGGATCATCTTTCCATCTCCAAGTCTCGGGTTCCAGGCCCCGAGAGGTGCACATCTTTGGGGAGGCCATTATTCTACCCACAACACTCACCTGGAGATTTACCTTGTGTTTCTTCTGCAGGAATATCGTAAAAGTGGGGCCATGTGTTCAGGGGACCCTGTCAGGCGCTGTAAGATTTTGCTTTGTTCAGTTACAGATGATGTTTTCTTGGACGGCTTGATGAGATTGGCTTCTCCCCTGTCAAGTTCCCGATTTCTCCTTTGCAATTAAGCAGCGGTTTGGAAGCGGGTAATTTGAGACCAAACATCCTGGTCCCATCAGACTTTTAATTCATCAGTTTCTCTGTCGGTTCAGACTCACGGTTTCCTATTTTATTCAATGGCTGCGGTCCACGGCTAGCACTGTCTCTTCCGTTGCTCTCATCTCCCCAGACCGGTACCTCGGGAGCCCTCCACCAGCTTCTGGCTCCTTTGGTGTGTCCCTGTCATTACCTGAGCACTTTCTTGCTTTCTTGCTCCGTAAGATGTCCCCGGCTCATCTTGGCCTTTGCTGCCTCAGTCATTTCTCCAAGGAGCCCTGGTTCCTTCCAGTGGAGAATGGTACTAGAAGCCAAGATCTGAGCTCACAGCCACAGGATGCCACTGCTCCTGGGCACCGCAGTGGACAGAGCTGGGAGGCTGGCGTGTACCGTCCACGCACTCACGTCCCAACGTCTCCCAAAGCCCGTCTGCATGTATTGAAAGCCCCAAGTCCCCGGCAGGACCTCCAAACATTCCCGGAGGTCCCGGGCCTAGAAATCCCCCTTCTGCGTTAGTAACTCCTACTTGATGCTGTCCCACCTCGTTTGGCTCCAATACCCTGCCCTTGGCTGCCTCCACCCCCACCTGGCCCCCGCCCCATCCACTCTGTTCTGTGAGACCTCCCTACCCCCTAGTCCCTGCAGGTACAGTCAATTCCTTCATCCTGCCCCACGAACATTTTTAGGACTGAAGTGTACGTCGGGGACAGGAAGGGACAGGAAGGGACGAAGAAAGGAAGCCCCGTGGCTATTTTTGACCCTGCACCCCGTCCGCAGGGGTGGACTCTACTATGCCCCTGTGAGATCAGTCACCACGATTGATGGGATGCCCGTGTCCCATGGGAGGCATCTGTGGCTTCTGAAACACAGAGGCTGTGTGACCTCAGGCACATTCATGAACCTCCCTGAGCCTGCCCTGGGGTCCCCACCACTAAAGTGGCAGCTCCCAGGGCAACAACTTTCCGTTGCGTTTCTGGAGGCAACAGCTATGGGCACTGTCTGGGGAAGGTGAAGGCTGGATGTGGGTCCCAACACTGGGGACTGCCAACCTCCATGTTCAAAGAGAGAGGGACGCTGACACTTATCTGTGGTGAGGTG